AGTGATTTTTGAGACTGAATGGATTACGTTTTAGAAAATACTTTTTTTTTTTTTCCTTGAAATGCAATTAGATCCATTATTAATGCTATTAAAGGAAAAAGGCCATGAATATATCTACTATGAAAAAGTACTTCAGAAATCTCACAGTGTCAACTTTTTCATCCATTTCTGTTTTGCTAAATGAGCTATACATATTAGATTCACCTCTTGCATAACTACTCTCTTTATACAGTGTGAAAATAACCCGTAATTGTAGAACATGACATTTTTATTTTTTTTCCAATGGATAATAAACTCCATTCTCATAAGCAAAGGAAGTTGCTAATAGATGGGGAGGGGAGTTCTTTTTACTCAGAAACCTGGTAAGCAACAAAAGATCTCTTTTTCCAAAATCCCACTGAATTAAATTGGCTTAAAATATCTGTATAAATTTATGAATTATATTTTTGATTAGCAAAAACGTGTCCTTTCATGTAAGTAACATAAAAGGATCAGCCATTCTTATAGATAATCACAAGGAAAGAAAGTGCTGAAAAATCCTATTTTTGTTACAGGCTCACTTCGACCTTATTGGCAGGGTACTGTCTGTGATTTGAAGCCTAATACTATAATAATAGTGTCATAAAACAGGCTTAGAAAGCTCAGGTACTGTTATAACTTTTACTGCATATAATATTAATTATGAAAAACATTGGATTAGGGCTTCACAATATGGTGACTATTATGTGACATAATATGAAACTGGTGGCCAGGAGTTCCTGAATATTAACTCCAGGTAAGCCATGAAAATTGAAAAAATACCTTATACCTACTTTGTGATACTTTTGCTTATGCTCAGAAACACCTGTACGTACCAAATAGACTTATTGATTTCCATAAGTGTAAAATTGAGTACAGGAATGCAGGAAGTAAATAATAGTAGCAGGATTAGCCTGCACTCTCTCTCTTCAAGTCATACCTGGTGTTGCTAACTGGTCTTGTGCAAAGCAAGGGAGCAATGTCAAAAAAAATTACAAAGTTCTCTTTCTTTCCTTTTTTTTTAATTTAAAGCTGAAGTTTACATATCCTCAGCATGAAAATTACTTCTTATTATCTTTTTTGGTTTGTAGAACCATGGTCTCACTTAAAGTGAAATTTAGGCTGTGAAATGGGCTATATAAAATCTGGGATTTCAGATTGTAACTGGTAATTAAATGGTGTTACTGATGACACTGCGGCTGAATTTCAACTTTATCCCAAAATTTCAAAAATTAGACCCTCAGAAGTAAAGCTCCTCAATTCTTGTCCAAAGTCAGTATATCAGTGCAAATACTCTTGTATTGTGTAGGCTGTGGTTCACTGACAGAGTCATAAAAAGATGACCTAATTTTTCAAATAGAAAAGTGTTTTTGGCATTAACTGAACCTGGAAGTGCTCATGACTTTGGAAAAACAGGTCATGTAGCAATTTAATATGCACTCAGGAGTTTGATTCTAGGCTCTTGGGCTTTTAAATATTCATCATGCTAGTCTTAATATATAGATGCCCAGAGAGTGATGTATGCATTGCAGTGAAAAATGCAGCAGACATATAAATTAATAAGTCTTGTACAAACCAAGTTTGTTTCTGGGAAAAAAAAAAATCCCCCCCCCCCCTCCCCCCCCCCCCAAAAAAAAAGAAACACACTGAAAACACAACAAAAAAACAATCAAATAAAAAGGCAAAAAACAAGCAAATAAAAAAAGACCCACACCAACAAACAAACAAAAACAACCCCCAAAAAAAACAAAACACCAAAACAGAAAAAAAACCCTCATCTGCACAGCTGCCTGGGTGGCTGATCTTCAGAAAAATAGGTAGCTTCCTTCACTTTGACAGTTGTCTTTTCAGTATGTCTGTTGTCTTGCTAATATTCTTGAGTGGAACTGTTGGAGGAGCAGTGAATTGTTAATCTATAGAAAGAAGACATTAAGTGATAATTATATACACAAAAGGCTGGGTAAAAGCTCAACAGCATTTATGACTTTGTGGTTTAAACATTTCAGAACTGCAAATTAAAGTAGCAGTCCATATTTAATAGCACTTTGACCTGATACAATCCTATTTTAGCTGATAATGTTTTGCCTGTTTTACAAGAGTGCTCTGAATATTAATTATAGTCTCAAAACTCACTGCAGATAGTATTTAGCATTATTATTATGAATTGTGCTCATAAGAATTTAAGATTTTACATTGCTGGGGTTGCATAAGTCTTTAGGCACGTTATGAATATTTCAGCAGTGTTCATGCCTGATATAACCTGAATCAACAGTTATTTCAAAACATTTATTTTTACAGAACATAGACTGTAATTAATCACATCTTTTGTTGGAGGTGAGGAGAACTGGAACTGACCTCAGACTTCTTGGCAGATCCCCTAAGCTTTAGCTTTTCACTGAGATTTCTCTCAATCTTATTTTCATATGCAGTTCTCTTTGTCTTTCCAGTGGGGTAAACTTTGAGTGTAAATGGTCATAGCTCCACTGCCTTCAGTGGAACTGTACCCGTTTGCCCAAGGTCTCTCTCTTCTTTCACTCTTTGATTTCTTTCTTTGCTGTTTCCTGCTTCTTATATTCCTTTGGACCTGAATATCGCTTGTATCCAAAATTCAAGGTTTGCAGAGCCAAACACAGAAGTGTTGTCTCAGTCTGTAATTTACTAAGGAATTACTTCATTGTTGGAGTGCACAGAATCACAGGTTCATGAGAAAGCATTGATAGTTTGTCCCTAGGAGTTGTTAACTTATTTTCCATGTGGATATGAATGCCATTTTTTCCTATGTTCAGCATTGAATAGCCTTCATTTTTCCAGTATTTCTGTTTAGTTTGAATATGCAGCACTCAAACACTCCAGAAGTTGGTGTTGCCTAGGTAATAATAGCAAACCACTGTATTTTCCATCCAATTTTGACTTTGGTTCTCATTTTTACATCTTGATAGACTTCAGTGAAATGTCAAAGTAGCGATAAATGGATCTTCGGAGATCCATTTATATTTATTTAAAAGGCTTTAAGACTCCCAAGGAATGCGAGTCATTTATCAAAAGGCTACTATGAAGCAGTATTTAATTAATAATAATTTAGAAATTATGATATATGAAATATCTATAAAATATAAAAAATCTATATAATATAGAAAAATAATATAGAAATTATATAAATATGAATATGTAAAGTCAGAACACAATGGTAGTAGGGAATCCTATAAAAACAAACAGTACTTTCAGGTGTATGTAAGCAGGCTACCAACTATTCATATTGCCCAAAGGTGAAAGCATTTCTGTGATAAACTCAATCTTATCAAATGGAAATGTCAGAAGGTGTGAAAAGCCTGGGCATATTAATCAACCAAAGTATGTCTTTGAGTTATAAACTTGTCATATAGCTACAAAAAAGGCAAATCTAGTCACAGGCCGTATCAGGCACTGAATTACCACCATTATATTGCTGAACTCTCATAAAGAATACCATAGTTGTTCTAGTCAGCCTTACTTCAGAGAGGTGAATTCTCACTGGGGCAGGTATGGAAAAAAGGGGAATTAACATAACCAGAAAATGACAATCTACTTCAAAAGACAGAAAGTGAGTGTTATAGCTAAGTGAGTGCTGTGAGTAGATACACTCTAAATAAGTACAGGGCACAAGTATGGGAGTGGAGTTGGTCAAACCACATTTACATAAGGTAGAAAGAAATGTTAATTTAAAAATTAAAGGATATTAACTGGTTATGAAAAAGTCAGATTTTTTCCAGCTGTCTGTTGAGTAATATTCTGGGCTTTCAATCGGAGATGAGGGAAAACTTTGGGGAAACAGCTTGTTCTCTTGTTACCTGCAGTTACAAAGGTAGGTGTTAATCGGTGAAGATCCACTTCACTCCTTTGTGGTATGTTCCCCACATTAAAAGACCACATAAGACACTGCTTACCTAACTACAAAAACATGTTGAGACAGAGCATTTGGTGACCTTCTCACTTGAAAAGTGGAATATAAATATGATGTCTTTGTTTCTGAGTTTTTGCCATATTACAAAACTAGTAAGGCAAAGGTACATGTTCATTAACCTTTAGCTAGAGTGGTGCCTGTGTTACTGTTAGCATTAGTCTCTATGTTAGACCCTATCTACTGCTTTGGAATTTAAAAATTTCAAAAGGTACAAGTTAAAGCAGGCCCATGCCTTAATCCGTGGTGTTTGTTGAGACCTAATAAATAAAATGCAGTTTTGTTGACTTGTCATTATTAAAGATGCTGCTGGAGGAAATAATGATAGCCAACCTTTTGACGTAATTGTTTCAAGAATGGACCTGCGTATGTGTTGTTTAAAATCTTTGGTCCCTAATACCTCAGTGAACACTTGGATTAAATATAGGGTGTCAGAACAATAACTTCTCTGAGACTCTAATCCATCTAAACCAATCTAGACATGCTGTACCAAACAACAAGCTCCCAGTGTGAGTTCAGATCAGATGGGTCATGTGAAGTTGATCAGCTATCACCCAACTGGTGTGACTGATATGCAGAATTTATCCTGGAGGTTTGTAATCCTCTTTCTCCAAACAATACCTTCAGCTCCACACCTGAACCATGCCCTTGTGACCATGGATGAGGGCTAAACAGTACCTTTTATGGTACTTGTAATCAAGAGCATCCAGCAACAAACCTCCACTGTTAAGCCTTCAAAATCAGCTTTCCATTCTGCCACATGGGCTGTGTGACCACACATGTGTAGATGTGCCCAGCAGCAGACAGAGGGTTACGTTTTGGTTCCCCGGTACAACCTTGGCATTTGGGTAAACAGCGCACACTCCTTTGTGCTGAAGCACTTCTGAGAGTCCCTAGCCTTTGTGAAATGTACCCCACACCCTTCCTGACTCCAAGTGCCATGTGCATCTCATTCTGTGTTCCTACAGCTTGTACAGCAGTTTGTTCAGCATTCTTTCTCTTCACTTACTTCCCTTTTCTTTTCTGCTATTTCCCCCTCTTGCAGATGGACAAAAGAGGAAGAAATCATTAAGAAAGAAACTGGACTCATTAGGAAAGGAGAAGAACAGAGACAAAGGTAAAATAAAATGAGTACATATTTACTGCTTGAGTATTTAATTTTGCATATGAGATTTCGCTAGTCTTAAATATGTACTTTCTGGAAAGGAAAATGTTACTGAGCTGATGTACTGCCTAGGTATTTATTTCAAAGTTGAAAAACATGTTTTATTGTCTCTGTCATTAATATAACCCAGATCTTTTCAACTGAGAGGTTTTTTCCTGGGAGAAAAGGAGAAGTTAAAGGACGGCATCTCTTCTTCATTGTTCTTTCTCCCCAGTGCATAATGTGGGATCTGGTTGTTTACCAGAATTTGCACTCTCCTTGTTCAGTTTGCAAAGCACACAAAATCAGCTCTAATCAAGCAAGTCAGTTGGTTTGCATTTCTTTTTTTAACCTTAAGTATATAGCCCATGTTTAAAATATATAAATGCTTCAGTGCTACTGATCAGTTGGGTTTTAATAAGACTCCATGTAACGTGAATTTACAGGTATGGTTGTACTCTTTTTTTTAGACACTAATCAGCTTTATGGGCTGGGTCCTAATCCACTGGATTTGGCCTGTAATTTGCAGCCATTTAAACTAAGTCTAGATGTTGAGACCTGGAAAGTGCTGCTGAAATTGTGGTTTTCTGCATGTAAGTAATTGTGCATCTAACTTTGTGTTCCATCCTGGAAAAGAAGTTCTGAAAAGTGTTAGTAAAACACAGTTTCACAAGCACACACCCGCAAACATACAAATTTATAACAAGAGAATTGATTTGGTTGTTCTGATGTTAGTACTTGTAATCAAGTTTGGCAGGATGGGACTTTGAAATTCCATTGAAAAAATGAACATGCCCATTTGAAAGTTACTTTAGATATTTGTCAGGAAGAAAATGTTTTCCTTTTAATTTTTGTTTGGTGACTTCATACATGGGATTATTATTTTCTTGATTTAAAAATGGCTATGGAAAATATTTGCATTAACCTTTCTAAAGCTGTAAGTCCCCTGACATATTTGTTTGGATAAATCCAGTGGCCTCCCATGTTGCATTGCTTGTATCAAATCTTTCATTTGTTATGAGAATTACACGATGTACGACTGAGCCCACAAGCAGAAGGAATCTTTTAGGAAGAGGTTTACTGATCTTACAGCATTTCTACCTTTGGGAAAACTCTATCTTGTACTGCTCCTGTAAATGCATTGCATTTGGCAGCAACGTAATGAATCAGTCATTATGTTGCTTAGTTTTCTCCTTGTTTTTGTTGTGGGTTTTTTTCTCCCCCCATAGTCTTCCGCACAGTTAAAAGTGCAAAGCAGCATAGTTCTGTGTAAAACCTTCCCCGCTTTTCATTGCATTTGCTAGATACTGATTTTCATGGCCGTCTGTGGGTTTCTCTTCTGTATCACTTCTTGCTTTTTGTTTTTAAAATGTTCTCTCTCACAATTTTTTGATGCTCTGAGGGTTTTTATCTTTTTATCTACCCCCTTGGGTGGTACAACTTTGATAATATCCTTTGAAAATTTCTATTTAGAAACTCTTTCGAGAGTTTAAATACATTTTGTCCTTTTGTTCTCACTTTTTTCATTGCAGTAGCAGTTCTTTTAGGAATAATGAACTGATTTGATAATTCACCAAAGACCAAATTTTGCTGTGTCACCCAAACCTGGTGGATCTTTGGAATTGCACTTCCAGAACTCTTAAAATGCCTCTTTGGTGCTTTGAGAAGTGATAGTTTACTTTAGTGATGCAGATGCTTAACCTGGAGTTGTGCTTTATTTCTCTAAAATCTCAGTTGCCAAAGATGTTTCAAACAATAAATTTTCTAACATTGCCTTGTATTGTTTAGTGAATTCCTTGTAGCCTCATTTTATTTCAGCTGACCTCTGTTTCTGATAATTGCACAACTGCACTGGTTGAGTACTTACAGATAATATTATTTTCTGCTACTACATTCCTGTTCAGAGACTTTTTTTGTGTGTCTACCTTGTATGATAGCACATATACTTCATTTAGTTAGTATCTTTGGGGATGTACTTTCTGTTTTTATTACAGTGGGTTTTCTGAGGGCACTTTCCCATTTAGGGCTCAATAGTTGTCCACAGCAAAGGTCATCAATTTTATAATTACTCATCCCTCTATATATTTATCTACTTCCTGTTTTCTGTCATTGCTCATATCTTCTGGTTAACTATACCCAAGCATTTTTAAAAATCACTGTGCTGATTCTCTTAATTTTAATTCCTTTTTTGTTTTCTTTATTTTTTTAACTTCTTCTCACTTCAGGCCTTTCAAACATCTACCCATTTGCTTTTATCCTCCTTCTCTCCTCTTCCATTGTCTTATTCTCATTTATAAAGATGGCTTACATATTCTTTCCATGTATAAAATGTTATAGGACTAACTCTTGAGGGGAAGGTAACCCAGCACTACTCAAACAGCAGAATCTATTTCTCTCTTCAGGATGTCTGCATTGACATGTGCATCAGGTTTGTCGGCAAGTTTACAGAGCACCAGGAAATTGGAAGGAATCAGGTTCCCACCATGTTGTGTCAGCAGAGTGAAATGAAACCCATGCCAGCTCTTATTTGTTTCCAACAGCAAACACAATAGGCAAAAATAACCCAGATAGCAGCAGCATATGGCCCCTGGCTTCTCAGGGTTTCTGTCCATGTTTTTTTTCTGGTGTACACTTCTTTGCCCTTCTGAGTTATTAAAGATCATCTGCCCCACAGATACGTGCTGAGCAGACTCTTGATCCATGATGGTAGGGGGGATGAGCAACCAGACAAGGTGCTGCGTTGTGCCATGTGAGACATTAGCCTGGCACAGTTGGTGAAAGGCAGCTGTTCTCCTATAGAAAGTAGCAGCACCAGCATCTCTTCTAGCCTTAGGAGTTAGAAGGGAAAGTTGCTAAGCTTTCAGGTGACGAGCTGGATCTGGAAGGTAAAATGTAAGGCCTCGTTCTGCAGGTATCCATAAGGGTGAGCCTGCCATGCTCATGTCATGGCCAAGCCCACCACTTTTTCTGAGCAGTACTCTTCATGTCACCCAGAGTCAGTGTCTGACCTCCGCTTGGTGAGTGCGTGTCACAGCGAGCTGGAAATATCATCCTGGTCCATTACATGGTGGTTTTTTAACAGGCCTTTCTACCATTTGTTTTATAAAGAGTATCTTCTGTTTCTGGGCAATCAGTCCAAAATAAAGACTCCACACTGAATGTGTGTGCACTCACACAAAAAGCTGGGAGGATTTATTTACCCCCCTGGGCAGGTCCATAGTTCTCATGCCCAAAAGGAATGTCTTCCTTCTGTTTCTTTTGCGGTTTGGGGTATTTTTTTCAGTTGATTTTTCTGATTTTTTGGTGGGTTTTTTTTGTGGGGTTTGTTTGGTTTGGGTTCTTTTTGGTTGGGGTTTTTTGGTTTGTTTTTTTTGTTGTTGTTGTTTAGGGGTTCTGTGGGGGGTGGTTTAGGGGTGTTTTTTTCTGGTAGCCAGTCTAGATGAGAAGGAGATAGTGAGACCAGGCTGCAGGACACCAGAGGGGAAGTAGGGAAGCCAGTTTCACACCGCTTTATACAGATGGCTTTCCTTAAGTCAAACAGCATTTCTACCCCTTCAGCATCACTTTTGTAAGCACAGTTGCCGTTTGAAAAGTATGTAATTTATTCCAAACATTTTGACTGGGAGACCTTACATAGTAGGGCAAGTAACAACTGAGGGGCCCATGTTAGGTCTCGTCTGGAGTGCGTCCTACCTGAAAAGTTGTTTTTCAATAGCTAGGCTCCTAAAGATTAATCCTGATGATCACGCAGCAGTGTGTGATTCTGTATGTGGTTTGCAGCCAGAGATCACTGAAATGTGCCTGGCACTGGAAGCCAAAGAGTTGGGACAAAGGCCGTTGTGCTGATCATGAGGGAAGTACGATGGAGGCCTTGCTTCAGGATGCACGAGGCATGAGCAGTTCTTGAGAAAGAGCAGGGAGTACTTGCTTCCTTGGTCTTGCCTGAGAAACCTTCTCCTTTAGCACTGACATGCACTGAACTGCCTTAGGGTGTAGACTTCTGGAGTTACTCTCTCTGGAGAGGTACCACCTTGCTGCAATTTGTGCCCAAGACTGTACTTCATCGCACCCCACCAGGTGGCTGCACTTAAAAAGCATAACCAAAAGGATATGGTATTCATTTCTTCTAGGGCTGTTTGGAGATTTAATCTCTTCATTTAGGACTCACTCTAATCCCTGGAGTTCTTACTCTTGTAACATGACATCTTATTTAGATGGATCAGTCAATGGACCTATCTGTTGAGAGTTTCCACAAACTGTTATTCTTTTGAAGACCAGCAAAGGCACCAAAGTAGAACTGAATGCACTTTAAATGAGATTCATATTTTTATTTTGCCCTTTTTAACAAGTACATCTGTTGTCATCTCATTAAAAGGGGAAAAATTCTAAACTAAGTGTGTTTTTCAATTTTACATCACTGAGTGACTCACCAGAGCATGATATAGCAAAACTTGCTGGATGTAAACAGACAAAACAGGAGAGCAAACGCTGCACCCAGATATTTAAGTAGTATTTTCAGCTTACATCATTCAGCGTCTTTGCTTTTTTCTACTCAGCCTCTTTGTTATTAATGGCCATCATGATGCTCAATCTTGCTGTCTACATATGTCTCTAAACATTTGCTTTAGCTGCTGAGAAACAGTACTCAGGCCAGAGGAGCAGTAAAACGTCTGTGCTGCTTGGAATAAGAAATTCTCAGGATGCTCTGCATGCTGGCAGCTGGGTACTGTTTCCTTACAAATCCACTTCTAATTTTGATGTCAGCAGAAGAGTAGACTTTTGTCTGTCTTCTGCCAGTGATACGGGAGTCAGCGTAAGCATGCCTACTTGGAAAGTACACACAGGCATTCCTGAGAGAGGCACCTCCCAGAAAGGATATGTCCTAGAACTTTTTGTCAGTAAACCAGCTCCATTTTGCCTTGGTTCCAGTAAAACCTACAAGTGAGCTAAGAGACATGCTCAGAAATAATAATCACTTGTTACGTGATTTGTTCAGCAACTGAGACGCATCCATTTTGCTGATGTTTCTATGTGGAATGTAAATACTTGACAGGTTCATCTGTGAGGCCTTAGCAGAGCTGCTGTGTATGCTGGAGTTCCTGAGAAAAAGCCTTCCTCTGTGGTCTTTCCAGATACTCTCTGGTATATGGAGGTCCCACAGTAGGTGTTTGATCATTCTTTAGTTCAGAATTCTGGAAAACATCCTCTGTGTTTACTTCCCAGCCATGCTCAGTAAATTTAGAGGTATTTTTCAATGTTTTCATTTGTTCTTTAGTAATTCAGCCTATCATGATGTCAGTATGCCTTGGCGCAGCCTAAAGGGAAAGCTCAATGGATGAAGTTGTTTTTTTTTAATTACAGTTTATCAGAAATGTGCTGCCCTTTTTTTTTTCCTTTTTTTCCCAAGCCTTTCCAGCACCCCACTGTGCTTTGTAAAAAACTTTGAAATGTTTCTCATGCTCTCTACACATACAAAAGGGGTTTTTTAAGCAACGCTGTCATATTTTGTACTAAAGTCAACTAAAATGCTGAAGAACCTCTTAATTTTTAAAATGTAAAAAACAAAGACATACCCACAGCAAATGCTTAAGTGATTGGGAAGGCTTTATATCAATCCTTGGAGGTCAGAGAGCTCCAGATAGCTGGGGAAGAGAGTTTCAGATGTAGAACTGATCCTGAGAACATAGTGTTATCTTGAAGCAGTGCATGGTTTTGATGAGCTGTCAGATGGAAGGAGTTTTGCTATTTCCATTATGGATTAAGGTTTCCATATTCCTTATTTTCTTGCTTTCATCGTTCTCTATGGACCCAAAGTAATTAATTTCCATTAACAAAACAGTTGCCCAGGCTGGCTGGATGGAGAGTTTGGTTTAAAGGCCCCTCCCTATTTAAATGTTTCTTTTAAATCATATTATTCTCTGAGCTGTCTTCCATTCTATTCCTCTCATTTAAATAGAGTTAGTACAAAGGCCTCAGTAGGTCTTGATCACAAGGTTCTTAACAGCATAAAACCAGCACTTAAAGTGCTAAGGAGACTATCCAAAGTTGCTGTAGTGTGTGCTGTTCACTTCATCAGCATTGAAAGCCTCATTAAGGTCTAGAGAATACACCTCACTGGTTTTTAATAGACCATTATGATTTGTGGGATGGAAACCAGAATTTTCACCAGCTGAAACTTCAGAGAAGTCTTTGAAACTATACTTAGATGGGGTGGCATGAGGCCAAGTAGACAAACTGCATGGGTCAATGTCCCGGATGTCTCATTTGATTAGCAAAGAAAAGGATTTCTGATCACTGCAACTCTTATTTGATCTGGCTGGGAGTTGTTCAGTGTCATGCTGCTTTTTATTAGAAAATGCTGATTTACCACTACAGAAAGATTTCTTAGGAGCATATCAGTTTTGATCAAAATTTTTGTTAAGAAACTTGCCTCAGCTGCAAGACGGATTTTCTGGTAAGACAAATTATGAACTTCTCCAAAATGCAACTTGTATCCTTTGCCAATAAACACTAAAATACAAAATGGATCAGAAGTCAAGTCCTTATGTGCTGCCAGCCCAGGGTATGAGTCTGTGTTTCCAACCTGATTGTGCGGCCTGCCAGGTTATTTCATATTTTTATATGGTGCTTTCTACAAAATTTCTTTTTAAACTGCCCACTCTTCTAATTGAGTAAGTGATCAAATTTTTATTTGGTCTGCAGAAAGTAACTAACTTGGTAGCTTTGGCGTTCAATGGGTATATATACAACAGACCAAAGTTTGAGCCCCTGCTCTAAGGAACATTTCTTCATGCAAATGAAACCCCTCTAGCAGAGGTGAACCCCAGTCTACAGTAAACAGTCAGTTGGTGCTTTTACCTTAATTATGAGATGAGAGCCTCAAACCTACATGTCTGAGTCAGTGCCCTTTCTCTCCATCAGTGAGTTGCAAAATTCATTGCACATTTACAACTCCTTTGTTTTGGGGTTTTGGTTTGTTTTTGTTGGTTAGGTTTTCTGTTGTTTTGTTGTGTTTTTTTTTTTAATCTGAAATATCAAAAGAGCTAGCATTCATTTTAATGGATGTGAGATTACTTGTCCAAAAAGGAAATTGTTGGGATTGAATACTTCTGAAGACTGGTGGTCAAAACATGTTCACCACCGCCCCCCACAGGCACACTAGATTTGGTGGGAACTTAAGGCTGCAGCCAGTCTGCAGGGGGTGCAACCAATTCTCTTAGTTTCAACAAAAGAGCAAAAACTTACTGGTTTTGTGAATACTTTAACGTAATTAGCACTGCCAGCCAGCATCACTTCCATCTGTATTTAGGCTGAAAATCAGCCAGTTGGTTTTCATCCAGTTCCTCATCTCTGCCAGACATTGAGAAATCGGGGAAGTGGTTCATATCCTCTGAGGAGGAGGCCTACAGCAAAGCAACCTAGAGTAGAGGCTCAGAATCCTTTCGCTGCTTCACAGGCACATTGAGCAAGAACAATTAAAAACCTGGCATCCCACACCTGAGAGCTTTCAAGGAGGAGCAGCAACTACCTCAAAATACCAGCCTTTACATAATGAAGTCAGGGAGAAGGTCTTTGTAATGAAAGTATTTCAGTGAAGCACTGATGAGATCCTACTGTAGGACCAATGGCATCAGCATTCTGTTGGGCATCACTGGCTTACATACTGCTGTCCTATCACAATTGGACGTATAAGTGGCTGTAAGACAAAATCAGAAAAATATTTAATGTTCAGGATTTCATTTGGCTCAGTGGCTTTTCTCAGGAAATGTTGTGGAAGGACAGTTAAATAGGGGTGCTGGAGGTATAACAAAGTACACAGATAGAACGACAGAAGGGGGAGACATGTTGCCTATGTGTGTTTCAAGTTTATGTTCTTAAATGTTCTTTGGGAAGATAATCCAGAACAGTAAAAAATTAAATTCTCATAATTCTATGGGCGCACTCTGCTAGGTACACGAGGGACAGGTCTAACTCTGGACTTCTGGAACTGGCAATTCCTGCATTGCTTGATACCCATGTAATGATGTTCTTTCTTCTCCTAAATTAAATGCAGATGTTTTTAGATGTCATTCTACTCACAGGTTGCTTCCAGACTTGCTTGATATGTGAGGCTCTGCTTCCTGATTTAATTTTGTCTAGCCACCAAAGTTAGCTCATGTCTAACATTTCATACTTGTAAAGAGCAGCAATTTTACTCACCAAATCAGAACAACAGGCCCTTGTCTCTTTAGTGCGACAGGCTAGTAACGTCCTCATTCGAGAGTCATACTCTTGCTTTCAATATCTTGCTTTAATCTAACAGTAATGCAAGTCTAGATAAAATTTGAAAGTGTCATCAAAGCTGTGGTCAGGTACTTTAAGTCCCCAGAGGGGCTTCAGCCTTTAATCATTTAGACTATTGTCTAAAAATCAAGAATTCCTTTTTTTTGCCTTTTTTTTTTTTTTTGCTTTTTTTTTAATTCTTTTTTTGATACATTAATGAAACAGTTGCTTTTAATATCTGGTGCTTTATTTTTTCCTGATACAGTCAGGTCTGAAGCTGGAACCTAGTAGTAGTTGTACCCTTTTTCATCAGGATTAATAGAGTCAATAGCTATTTTTTCATTTCATTTGATAACAAAAAGTTCTAGTTGGCAGTCTGGCACAATGGCTTTGGTTCTAATCTGAGGCAGGTCTAGATTTGAAACTTCAATGTTAGTTGTTGTTGGCTGATAGAGCATTTTTCTTGTTTTGTGTAATATTTGAGCATTTTACTTTGAGACCAGAAGCATGTGCTGGTTTTGTACATTACAGGTATATTGATGTGAGATGGGATGATGTTCATTTTGATAATTGAGAGGAACCTGTATTCTCACTTATTTTTGTATATCTATATATATTTGTACTGTTACAAAGGACCTTTATACTGATATACCACTATTAAACTAGTTTAATCTTACCAGTATGTTAAAGCAGTATAGTTCTTATACATATCTTTAAAACCATATCCTTGGAGGCTTAGTCAGAATAGTGTATGCATTTACAAGCTCCCTGTACAGGTAGATGCATACCTTCCTGGCCTGTAAGGAGACCCATGCACATTCCTGTACCTCTTGACTCTGGTGCCTTGCAGCATTTGTGAGAGAAATCTGGTGAAGTGGTCTGAAACGTGAGGGTTGTATCCAAAGGTACTTGACTTGCAGTTGTTATCAATAGAAGTTAAGATCTCAGATCTACTCTCAAGTGATTTTTCCAAGATTCTCTGTGGTATATCTTGCATTATCCAACTGGAAAAAGGATTAAGGTACCATGGGCTAAAATTACCTGGCACATCTCCTCTATTGTTTTATAATTTGAATATTATTATTATTATGCAGTCCAGTACCTCCTTGGAATTATTATATATTTAAAGGGACTTTGGATTGTTTTTCTGTTTAACAGCTTAATACTCAATTCTTTTTGTGCTAAATAAATATCAGATGTTCAGTAAACATTAATTTTGTTGTTGTTGCAGAATTTGTTCCCCAGGCTTTTGGAATGCCCTTGTCCCAAGTGATTGCTAATGACCGGGCCTACAAGCTCAAGCAAGACTCTCAGAAGGAAGAGCAAAAAGATGTTTCAGATTTTGTGGCCTTTCTCTTGCCGTTTGGAACTAAAAGGCAGAACAAAGAACTTTCAAGCAGTAACTCATCTCTTAGCTCAACCTCAGAAACACCAAATGAATCCACTTCTCCAAACACACCCGAGCCAGCGCCACGAGCAAGGAGGCGTGTAAGTAAACTTATCACATTATGGTGCATGCCAGTATGTCCAAAGGCTCTAGCTGGAGCACAAAAAAAACCTGTTGTGTCTGTGGGCTGTGGGGTGTTTCTTCTGTCATGTTCAAACAGTGATTTCTTTTTTAGGTGGAATCTAGCCTGGTCAATACCAGAAAATTCTAACTGTCGTAGAAATCTTTCTCTGGTGCTGGTGGGAAAAGGTCATATGATCTGTCCAAGTCTGTAACAGATAGCAAAGTGCTAGAAAGATTTTTTTTTAGAGTCTTCCTGTTCGCTCCCTTTATCTGCGTCCAGTCTAGGTCTTTTAGATGTAACAAATTCCGTCCATCTTCAACCTAATTTTTTCAGCTGGGCAAGAAACAAACCTATGTGATTGATATTTATATATATATGTTTCTGTTAATTTAGCTCTACAAACCTGGAAATAAATCTATTAATCCCTATCCTAGTATTAATAAAAATCCCCATGGTCTAATTCTGATCATGTCCTTGGTGGTGAGTAAGAAATTGTCAGAGTATATTTGTACCAGGCTCTTTGAAGGATGTTTCTGTATACAGGGCATGAAGATGCTTTTGGCAGCAGTGTCATGGTTTGGGTTGAATGTTAATCCTGCCTGTCAGATAGGTACCTGGTAGACCATTTTTTGTGGTATTCTGTATGCTCTGAGCTTTCCAGTTTTTCAGCACTGCAACTACTAACAGTAGTAGATTTTATTTTCTTTTTACCATGGGATAAAGATTATAGAATTACTGCTTTTTAATTTCATTTGCAATGAATGTTAAGTAATTTAAGAAAAAAAATTGGGTACAAGAGCAGACCTTGGAAAATAAAATATTTTCTTATGATCTTCACCTTCTTTCATCCCTAGGATAAAACCTGCTTCAGAGACATGCTATGTAGGGCCCTTCAAGCCAAGGTGCTAAGATGGGTAGAACAGGAGTAAGTTGAAAATTAAGAGACGATTGAAGAGCCCCGTGACCTACCTTCTTTCCCTCTAGTTGTCAGCTGAAGTTTGAAATGTCTGCATTCTGTCAGCAAATAGTTGAGGGCATGATATTTGAAGATGTTTGCATTCTTACATATGCATAACACACAGCTGTTGACCTGTCCAGAACAGGAAGTTGTGTTCAAATAAAAGTGCAAACTACGCTTGAATGGAAATATGAAGGGTAACCCACCAACTTCTTTCAGAGGATAGTGACAAAGAGAAATTCACCGTACATACCCATTGGCTTCAGAACCTGTTTTCATGTGAGGGAAAGGTAACTCATGTGTCCAGATATGAGTCATCTGATGTTCTTTTCAAGTGTGGTAATATCTCTGACATGCATTTGACCAGCCAGCAAGCAAAAGGAACCTGGACCCTTTGTTATATCCAAAGGCTCAAGCTCCACCAGGGCCAAGTTTCTTGATGCTTGGGGAGGTGTTTTGCTTGTTTGTTTTGGGTGGGTTTTTTTGGCGATACTAGTACTGCAGCTTTCAGGGTGTTGAATTTGAACATTTAGTCCATACTCACGAGGATGCAGTAGCACATGGTTCACCTACAGAAAAGTAAGAGTAGGCGAAGGTGGGCAGTGTGACATAGAGAAATCTGGCATTTTCTCTTGAAAGTGAACCTCAGTCATTCAGTAATGTACTTCATGAATTGTCAATTATTTAATATTAATATCAACTCACATCCCATATCTTGTCTGGTTTTGGCCTTTATACTTCTGCTTATCAGTGTACTTCCTCTACTCCCTTGAGATTTTTAGGGGATCATAAGGAAGCTTGCACTTTTATCTCTTGGGCAATGTTTCACTGTTTATTTTCAACTATGCCGGGGTAAATACTTAAAAAAAAGTAAGTACATGGAACTGATACAACCAGTTTCTCACACAAATGCTCCGTAGACAACTGGAGTCCACTTAAATTGGAGGGAATGTTCATCACTACCATTTCCTTCTTTGCAACTGTACCATTCACTTTTGTGTATTCCGGTGAATCTTCAAACACTCAGCTGAGGCTTTCAGTTAGGGACTGGTATCCGTTATTGTGCAAAGGTAATGCCTAGTAGATGGAACTTGATTTTTCTTTGGCTGCTGGGCACTGCAGTCCATGGTAGCACTATGTCTGTGTTAATAGTCCTGGAGTAGTGAGCAACAATGTGCATGATCTCCTGCATCATTCTCCAGCAATCATATAGGTCTGGCTGAGCCTAAATTAGTAGGTCTGGCTGAGTTTGAACTGGATCCATGGAGTATGTTAGTATTGCTTTCCTCTGCACTTCGAAATTTAAAATCAGAGCTGGTCTGGGCTTGATATTGCCAAGCAGTGCTGTACTTTAGCCACTGAGCTCAAGGTCACTCTTCCTAAAGCCAGCTCAGTGTGCCAGTTAATCCACAACTTTGATAAAGTGCCCAAGGATAATGGTGAACTGACTATATTTACATCTATTTTGGGGATCTGAATCCGACTTAAGTGGCCCTGTGATAATAATGGTTCATGAGGTGAGGATGTCCTGCAGGAAGGGAAGGACCAGTAAAGGCAGAGTATAAAGGTCAGCATCTGTCATACAGGAACTGCCTGGGAGCTGCAGCAGTGAGGATGGTGTTAGGGCTTTCAATGTCAGTCAACTAATTTTGATGTCTGAAACCCCAAACTTGTAAAATAAAAAAAAATTGCAGTTGGAATTGTACAGACATGGATCACAGCCAGAGATTCTTGTTTGATTTGGGGTTTGGTTTTTTTGTGTGTGTTTTGGTTTGCTTCCTTTTGACAAGAAATGGTAAGGGGAATCAAGCAAATGTACTTCTGAGACACATCAGAAATCAAGATCAAAGATGCATTCTTAAGGGTCCAAAAAAATCTAAATACTTCACTGTGTTTTACTTATAAGTCTTCCCTAAGTTCTAAGAAACAGAAATGTACCTGATAAATTAGATGCTTTTTTTTAATTAAAAATAAAAAGATATTTTTAACTAAAATTTTTCTAATTAATTTGAAATCTCAGTGGACTTTGTATGAGTTGCCTATGAGTCAGAAATCTTTGTAAAGTTCAGTTGTCCAGGCTGATGGAAGAAAATACTTCTAGAGCTTGAAATTCACCAGCAGTTGTACAGTTCTCATTTAACAGACATAGAGATCTCACCAGCAGACTATGAAACAGCTGTCAGTGGAACAGTGTGCTTTTAAGAAATTAGATTTGTCAGCAAAGTTTTGAATGGGAATATAAATTCTCTTAGGATGGTGTGCTGGATCCCTTTACAGTGTATTTTATGTTATAATAAAATGTATCCATTGTTTCAGAAAGAAAGAAATTTACAGTAGATATTTTAAATGAGAATTGCAATTGATTTTTTTAATTTTAGCTTTATTAATATTTAATATTTTTGATGCCCTCTAAAATTTTTTTGCCTGGTAGGTGAATCAAAAATTGAGGAAAATGGTCATTTTGAAGTGACAGTAATCTTGAGGTTTGAAAAACAAATCTTGTTTTTCTAGACTGAACACTGAAACATGCCATAAACCTCCTGCTGCTTGTGCTGCTTTATCCTGCAGACTGCTTGAACTTCTGTGCCTTGCTGTAATACAAACACAGTTTTCAAACATTTCATTGGAATTTTAATGATTCTAAAATACTAGGATACATGAAGTAGAATTATCTATAAAATATTACCCCTCTACTTCCCTGGTCTGTCTTTGGTTTGTGATAAAGTGGGGATTATCTCAATCTCTGCAGTTATATGTATTTGTGTTATTAGTTAACTGTGTATGGTGTATGGTAGTAAATCTATTTGCATCATTTTCACTGATAATATGTCCCAAGCTACAGAAGAGGGAGGGAGTCAGGTTTAAAAATGCATATATATATATCTCCATGTGCATAAATATTGTGCTGCTGAGGTGCACATGGACCATGGTTCATCCATGTCCTGCAGTATGTGCAGGCTTACAAAAATGAAAAAGTGTGCCAAGTGAATAAGAAAGCATTTAGTTTTTTCAGTATCTAATTTGCATTTGTTGTAGTGTGGTAATAATAGCATTGGTACCACTGTGGTTTTCTCATCCATTACACTGGTATTATAACTTAATTACTTTACAAAACCTGTGTAGCAAACTGTATTTTTTATATTAGGTTGTTTAAAATGCAGGTAGGCAAAAGTCTTTGTTAGATAAGATCCTGTGATGTTTATATATCTTCAGACCTAATGATTGTTCTATGTGTGTGTATTTTACAGGGTGCAATGTCTGTGGACTCTATTACAGATCTTGATGACAATCAGTCAAGATTGTTAGAGGCTTTACAGCTCTCTTTGCCTGCAGAAGCACAGAGCAAGAAAGAAAAAGCAAGAGATAAGAAACTAAGTCTGAACCCTATTTACAGGCAGGTTCCCCGGCTTGTAGATAGTTGCTGTCAGCACTTGGAAAAGCATGGTAAGAATATTTCATTTTCCCAAGAGTGGCAGATATACTTTTACTATCCTATAAATAATTGCACATTTTGAGAAGCAAGTATATGCTTCCAATTGCAAGGACATCTTTGACAGTAAATTGCTTTCCTTCCTAATTTGCCTCCTAATTCACTTTTGCTAAAGATACTGTTTCACAAATAATCACATAGATGACACCTTCCCAGACTAGTGATCTATGCTACAAGCTTGCAAACTGGACCATACAGCATGGGGGAAGAGACATTTCTTAGAGGTTGTTCATCTCCAACTGGAATGCTCAGTTCTGCAGGAACAGCTCATCATACCCCACAGGTGCAGGAACAGCTCATCATACCCCACAGGTTTACCCATACCTTGAGAATGAAAGTCTAAAGTGTGCCAGTCAGCCTGGAATCATTCTTCACAAACGAGTGGATATTAAGGTGAAAGAGTTAATTTAACTGCTTATACTACAGTGCAAGACATAACTGGAAGCATCATTTGAAGATACAAGCTCAGAGAAAGAAAAAAATCCTATGCTGAATTACATTAACCTCCAAGAAGCTTTTTCCTGTTCTCTACAAAGCTTGTGGGCCGGCTATGCAGTTTGTCCCTGGCTGAGTCCTCCTGACCAGCCTCAGGATCAGGCCTGCTCTCTCTGAGGCGAATTACAAGCTTCTGCCAATATTCTTCTCATGTCTTCACGATCGTCTAGACACAAACCTCCCACCAGCTTTATGTAATGCAGAAACAATAGTTAATCAAGGTATCTATCCAACATCTCTCCCAATGTATCTTAGTCTTGTAAAGATTTTTAATGAGAATTGAAATAACTTGACCACAGCAAGACAGAGCTATTACATGGCCAGGTAATAAATAAACCATTAAGTAATGATGATTGCAACACCAGATGATGCATTTGACGCCTAACTTGATCAGAAAGAAATCATTTACTGACTCTGAATGAAAGGCTTTCGCGGATGAGGACTGCGATTTAAACAACAATGCAAAGCTTTTACAATACATAATTGAAAACTGTATTACATACAAATGTATAAATGAACTCTAGGAAAAAGAGTCATTGTTAGCCTTTTACAGAGATAAGATACCATAGCTGACAAGTGATTGTGTGGATGAGTAAATTGAGATGAATTACTTCCTTTAAGCAAGGGTAGCTGAGTTTGGAGAACATAAAAGTGTTTAAGTCAGCCAAAAAAGCTATCCAGCTGAATATCCTTTGGATACTGTGATTTTATGTCACTTGATCATCCAGTTTTTGCCCAATATGAATATCTCCTTCTCAGGTGTTTCCCTGCCAATGTTCCTGAGTTTACTAAATGTTATTTCATCAGGCTAATCTTTTCTTAACCAAAGATAAAGAATATTTGAAGGGAGTTGTTATGTTGTGACTAAAGGGCATAATCTTACCTGATCATCTGTGCTGAGTATCTGCAACTCCAAGCACTATTGTGAAGCTACACGTCTCTAACAAGCAAGTGTAGCCTTGTTGCCTACAAAGGGCATTTGTTTTGCGAGGTTATTTTATATCTCTTGTAAGTAAGTAGAGAAAAAGAATGTTGCGGAGTGGCCTTTGTTAGACCATAAACCTTTCAATTTATAGACAATTTCATTTTTTTGCAAAAAATGTGTAACTGTGCAAAATGATATTAGGTACACAACTGCTTGAGTCCCTTAGCATTTCTACTCACGTTCTCATTGCTAAAAACCATGTCACCTCTAAGGTGGCATTTACTCTGAAATTTTTTACTTTCTGTTACTTGGCAAAGTATGTCCACTCAACAACCATGTTATCAATTGCTTGATATTCTGCTATCTCTATAGGGCTAGAAGAAAGTTTGAACTGATTGCTAATGGAATACCAGGCCACAGCCATTTCCAGTATCTAAATGACACAAGATGCACTTTGAAGTACAACGGTAGTTCTTTATAAGCCATTATAGGATTATATAATGGCTGTTCCTATCCTGTAAGCTGCACACAACTCCCAAGTGGAGCTCTTCCCTCTCGTAATCAGCCGGAGTGCCCTACTTATGTCTCTTTGAGGGAAGCTCTCAGCTTTGTCTTTACAGGCACTGCAGAGCATGTGGGTAACCCCCAAAACAAACTGCTTCCTGTATCCAAAGCCATAGCTCAGTGTGCCAAATTATTTAGTTATTTTATTGCCTGTTTCCTTTGGTGTCAGTCCTGCAAGTGCCACCTCTGAATGCAGAACAGTGCCTTGCTCTCTGAACATGTCAGTGCCTCGCAGAGTAGCAGTAACACTACTAAAATGGCATCTCAAGAATCATCGACTAGAGTTGGAAAGGACCTTAATATCATCTAGTTCCACACCCCTGCCATGGGCAGGGACAACTCCACTAGACTATGTCACCCAAGACTCTGTCCATCCTGGCCTTGAACACTGCCAGGAATGGAACATTGCAACCTTTTCCAGTGCCTCACAACCCTCACGGTAAAGAACTTCCTCCTTACATCCAGCCTGAACTTCTCCTGTTTTTGTTTGAACCCATTACCCCTTCTCCAATCACTACAATTCCTGATGAAGAGTCCCTCTCCAGCATCCTTGTAGACCCCCTTCAGATATTGGACCCCTTCAGATATTGTAAGGCTGTTATGAGGTCATGGAGATGTCATTTTGCAAGGTTAGGTGATGGGACACCCTTAAAAATGGCAGTGAATAGTTTCTTATTTCAAGACAACTGAGTTTTGCCTCAGCAGTGTATGTACAGGTATGTAGATAAATACAATGTGGGATTTTTATTCTTTTAAATACACATAGCCCAGACAGCTTTGGTTCAATGCAATTTTCAGCAGAAAACTAAACAATAAAACAGTTGTCTGATGTGCTACACTTGCAGGTCTCCAGACAGTAGGAATATTCAGAGTTGGAAGCTCAAAAAAGAGAGTAAGACAGGTGAGTTGGTACGCTTTTTCCCATTAGCTATGATACCCAAACAAGCATGATACCTTTCTGTTAAGTGGTTTCCTTCCTATCTTTCACCTGGTGAAATTCAGGCTTTCTGGGTCAGTGACTTTATTGGGGTTTTTTTTTGATGGCGACTAACAGGCCATCTTTTACATCTGGTGAAATACTTGTCAGGTTCTCATCAGGTTAACAGTCTGTATGTTTTGCTTTGAGGTAGAACAGGGTTGGAGATCCAAATAGACTACAGTGATGAAATTTTCCAAAGGTTACACCATAGGGAAAAAAAACCCAAGCTTGGCTGCTAGTTTCATCTCAGCTGAAGCTCCCAAAGTAAACCCAAACAGTAAATCCTTTTTTTGAAAGCTCACAGTATGAGGAAATATGCAAGTACAGAACGATCTCTTTGACCCTCAGATTGCTGCTCACAAATATCACCTTTCTTTTACCCCTGTTAAATTTGAAGGTCAGGGCAGACCCATCCAAGTGCTAGTCTCAGCCAAATGTTGAAAAACAAAGAGAGTGTACAGTTAGGCTCCAGAGAAAAAGTCAGAAGTTGGTGTTTTCTCAGCCTTAGATATGACATCGTTATTCCCATAAGTTGGAATACCCGTTGAATTAGAGCAGTAGAGAATAGTGCTTAATGGCTGCGTGATGCTTAGGGAGGGTATAAAACATTACAGGAAAATACCCCTGCCAGGAAGACCAAAAAGTTCAATTGGGAAAAAGGAAAAGAAAGCTTAAATTCATCTGATCCCAGAAATAATAGTATTTGTTGCAAAGACTATACAGTATGATGTCTGGTGCTCTGGAAGGTTACCTTGAATATCTAAACTGACTTGATTCTGGATGGTAGGACACTATAGCCGACTGCTTTGTAGCTTATTCTTTAGCTGAGTGGCTGGTGTTCCACAAAGCTAAAACATTAATGGTCTGCAGAGGCAGTTGTTAGATCAAAACTGAACTAGATAAAGTATTAAAAAGTAAGTTGCCTGCTGTTTGCATTACAAACTTCAATGTCAAAACATATATTATCATTCAGGGGTGAGTACATTTGCATCATACCTCTGGGGAAAAAGCAGAGAGCTTGTATCACTTACTTGTAAACTAAGCCTTACTTTGAACATCAATAACTTTCCCCAGCTTTTACTGTGTTTTCAAAAGCTGAGGAAAACAAGAGATTTGGGTATTTATGTATTCTGTTACACAGACTAATATATCCCATTAAACAACATGGAAGCATCAGCTTGGACCTTGCAGTTACAATAATAAATGCTGTCAACATGAACACATGGGAAAGTCTGGATCCAATTAAAATTCCACTCATTTTCTGAACCATGGAAAGCCAAACCCAGTACTCAGATTTTGGTGTACTTTTGCAGCTGTTCATTAGTTTTTCTTGTGTATAAAATAGGCATAGTTTTGTTTCCTTTCCTTCCCTAGTTAGAAAATGTCCTATTTCAACTATAGTTTGTTTCAATAAATACGTAAGTAAATGCATGTGCCAGTGGGAAGAGAAAATCTAGAACAAGCTTGTCTATTACAAACCATCTCCTTAACATTCAGTGGGATGTAGAACAAAGCAGCATCCAGACCTTGAGGATGAAAACTGACATGGATGGAACTCTGCACTCCCATCCCCTCTCCCAACACAGATGTCCTCAGCTCTCACGTCTTAAGCATCAGTGGATGCTTGAAGTGTATTTTCCAAAAGTCTGAAAGTATTCGCTATGAATGAAGTTTGAGACACCTAAAGTTTAAACTCAGAAATGTATGGTTTTTAACAGCTGTGATACCTGGGCCTGAAATGTGGCCATGTTTCACCAATGATTATCTGATATTGTGCTAATTAGGACATCTCAGTAGGCCTCACAGTATATGAGAGCAGAAGTGCCATATTCAGTCTGTGTCAGCAATTTATGATTTAGACAGCTATTTGGGAAGTCCAAATTTCTTTTCCCTCAGATGCTTCGGGGCAGTAAGTGCAGAAGCAGCCTTCTGGATAGATATAATTAATCTCTGAGAAGATATATGTGGTCGTGATACCTCATAATATTAGCAAAGATACAAAATTTTCATAGGAAGTAGTTTTAAAACATCTTGACTATTTTCAAAATGAAAGAAAGTAGAAGGTGGAGCTCCCAGCCTGAAGAAATTGTTCTTCTCTTGGTGCTGGGAAATCTCTTCAGAAAGACAGGCTTTTCTCCTTTTTTTTTTTTTTTTAATATTCTTTTCATGAGACATATCAGACGTGGAAGAAGGATTTCTTCTGCCTTTGAGAAGTGTGATGCCTTTGAATTGTACAGAATTTGTCTGAGGACTGTAGCTGCAAAAAAGTAGTCATACCTCATAATGGTGTTAGCTTGCTTTTTGTTAACACCCTAAAATAGGAAGACAGAACAAGATGTGTGTGGAGAAATGCCATGAAGCCTTAGTGAACTTAGCTGCTTACTGCTTATGCTTAAGTATGTCCTAAATCATGAGAGAAATGTGAGTTTGGTGGTTATTGACATTATCTTATTTTTCATACAAAAAAGTAAATGTTGCAAAAGGTAATTTTAGTTTTTTTCTGGCCCTAAAATCTAGGGATAATGCAGGAAAGTGGTACTAGAAAGCCTTTTCTTGCAGTTTTCCTTGTTTGTCTGGTTTCTGCATTTGATATTAATCTTAGCGTTCTCAAAAAAATTATATTCACTTGGGCATATTTTTTCATATATTTTCTGGAAAAAAAGAATTGGATTTTATTACAGTCAGTAGAAACCTTAAGTTATGTATCATGGAACAAGCAGCAAGTAGACATTAATTATATCTTTGACCTGACTAAAAACTAGTCATATCCAAACCTGAAAGTGAAAATGAACAGATCTACACCTGAAAAGATTTTCTCTGTTGGGATGTGCTAATTGGGACGATAAGTGACTGTATCTTTGTGTCATGATCTCTTTCAGTTACGTGAAGAGTTTGACCGGGGCATAGACGTTGTATTAGACGAAGAGCACAGCATTCATGATGTTGCTGCTTTGTTAAAAGAATTTCTGCGTGACATGCCTGACCCGCTTCTCACCAGAGAACTTTACACACCTTTCATCAACACTCTCTGTGAGCTCTACAGCATCTTGATTTACTGATTCTTCAAAAGCTCACTTGTTTGAATTCTTTGATCTCTACTAACCATATATCTATTCTTCTGTACATTTAATTCTCTAGCTTTTATTTGCTCCAAGTATTTGTGTAGTATAAATTTGCTGAAATCTTTCCTTGGTTTTCTTACAGGTTAAGTATAGCCCAGAAAACTAAAGCAACAAAGATTTAACTTATTATACCTATTTTTGCATTTGTATATAGGATATAATTTGTACTGTCTTTTAAATCCTGACCTTTTCATTGGTTCAGCAGTAGCAGGTGACAGACTCACATTTGAATCCTGGTATCTTAGCACCATTAATGCTTTTAAGTTTCAAAGCCGTTCACTGACCAAAATTCCAGTCTGTCCTCAAAAACTGGTTTCAAAAGCTGAAGTTTCATCATAGTTAATGGTCCTCAGAGCCACCCTATGAAATACTCCCAAATGTGTTGCCTGAGACCTGAGTGTAGGCTATCACAGGTCTGGGAAAAAGTAAAGTTGTACTCTTCAAGCTTAAGCTGCTGCCTGGTATGTGTTCTTCGGATTCTTTCTAGCCCTCATGTCTGAGATCCTGCCTTTGTCCCACCTTTGTCATTGGCTGCCGTTGCATTTTAGATGGCTAAGGTGATGGTGGCTGCAGAACATCCTTCATATCTCTAGTTGCTTTTCCAGTCTCCCTATTACTTCTGCAAGATATGAAATTGTAAGAAAACCCATTTAAAATGGCTAAGGTATAAACCTGACTGCAATGCTTCCCAGCAGTGTCCCATATATACCTGTAGCTCTACCTAAATGAATTTAGTAATTAAGCAGAATTATTGTGTGCAGTGACAATGATGGAGCATGCAACACCAATTTTTCTCTCTGAGAAAAGTTCCTATGAATCTGTGAGCAAAAAGTTGACCAACCGAGGCAAAAATCCCATTACAGTACTTGTTCACTTTTTATATGTCCTTAGAGTTTTATCTTTTTCTTTTGAATTTATAAGTAAAGATCCTTAAACAAAGCTATTCTTACACCTTTCTTTGGGCTGGTAACAGTATATTTGTTCTGCTTTTAGGCTAGTTGGAGTGATTTTCTTAAAATTCAATTTTTTCCCCTCTTAGTATTAGAGCCAGATGAACAGCTAAGCACCTTACAGCTTCTCATTTATCTTCTACCTCCCTGTAACTGCGATACCCTGCACCGGCTGCTGCAGTTCCTTTCCACAGTGGCTGGTCATGCAGAAGACACCACAGACAAAGATGGCCAAGAGGTAAGTCGTGGTCACTTGTGTCCTTTGGCTTTGTTTAATTCATGATCTGAAACAAGATATTTAAAGCTGTGAAACAAACACAGTGGTGGCGTACCCTTGAAAAATGGAACAGATTTCATATTATTGATGGCAGATTTACCATTTAGTTGCTTACTGTGTTCTTAGGTATGTGAAAGTGTAATTTTCATATGACTTAATCAGTGAAGCATCTACTGCTTCCTTTGGGAGATTCACACCATCATAGACCTTGTTAATGTTAATGTTATTCGTCCTTCCCCACTACTCCCTCTTCTTTTATCCTATTATATTCTATAGACAAAAAACCACCAGTAAGTTGCAGGCAGTCAAGAATATGCATTTTCATTCTCTTTTCGTTCTCTCGTGTTGTTTTCTTGTGTAACTTTTAGACTTAGCAGTTCACTTCTTGGCTCCTTTTAGCTTTGCTGTGTGAGCTGGATAGTGAAAAATGGAAAGGGACAGGAACTCCATCTGTGTCCTTGCAACTGGCAGACCTAAACACTAGCTGGAGTCAGGGTCCATCTTTGCTGTGTTCCTTCTGTTGCTTTTGGACCAAATTCAGTGAGAGGCTGGAGTGACCCCCCTGCAGAGACAAGAACACCCATAGCTGAGCAGCTGAGCTGTACTTCTGAACATTCACGTGTGTGCATCTGCACCATTCACACTAGAGAAGATGAGAAAATCCAGGCTTCCCGTTTTCTACTAGAAAAATGCTTTGCCAAAGGTGGTGAATCTCTTAGCTCCAAGTGAGATGGATACAGTCTGTCGCTGCTTGGCAAAATTGTACCAGTTTATCTGTGGGAAAGACTTCTCTGTCACCTAAACGGCAGTAAAGACTACTTCTGAGATTACTGCTGAGGCTCTTCTGAAACTCCTAGAGAATTTTGTCTTCCAGATGGAAAACCCTGATGAATTCTGTCGCATTTGGACACCTTTTGCTGTTGGCTGGTTTTAAAAATTGACACTTTGAGACTGAGTTTTGCAGCATTTGTGCCTCAAGTCCTAGCTTCCAATGTGCCTATTTCACTTTTAAATCCATTTTAAATGCTTTTATTTCTGCCTCAGTAAGGAGTTGATTAAACACCTACACTGCTGTAATAAAAGTTTTTTTTTAAAAAGCAGCTCATAACAATTTTACTGTGCTTAAAAACATGTATAACACAGCTACGGTCGTGGTCCCTGTGGTCCTGCGAAGAGTTCTGTGTTGGTTCAGGAATATACCCAAAATGATCTTATTGCAGGGCTAGAGAATGCTGCTTGAAAGAGCTGGTTTGGCCTGACAGTTGTATTAAAGGCATTTTCATTCCCCTTAACAGTGCATCAGCTCTGCTACAGGTATTTTGGCAAGCCAAGTTTCTGTAAGCTGTCTTGGCAATATTCTAAGCGTCAGGAATATTATGTGCAATTGGATATCTTTTATAGATAATACAGTATTCTGCTTGCAATTATTTAAGCTATTCATGAATAATTAAGTGAATAAAGGCATACAGAGCAGGAGAAAGTGCTTTATCAGACTGTTTGCAATCACTGGAAGGAAAACAGCCAGGGCTTTGGCACATAGGCCCTCTTCACAATTTCTTTCAAAAGCCCTTCTGTCACAAAGATGAAGATGGATGACTAACTTTATTAATACGTTGACAGCATTTTTTTCAGGGATGCCCCGAGGCTGCCCTTAAGAAAAGACTCACTGTTTGTACAAAGAGCCTGCACATGCAGATCCAGGCACAGCCGGAGGCTGCCCCTGGCACACTTGAGGCACTGCGTGCCTGTGCCTCATTGGTGGCTCATTACTCTTGCAGTGTTTAAAAAGCAGCTCACCCAAAAAACAGCCAGGTGCACACTGGTGCACAAATAAGGGAGCGTGCTGTACTCACAGTCATGCTAAGATGAATCTCTAAACAAAGAACCTACATGTTTTTTATGAGTGCCCATGCACCTACATAGTGCATGTCTTTCCAAGATTACCCAGTAGTCCCACCAATAAAAGAAACTCTTTTTACTGTCATCTCTATGCAGTCTAGTTGAGCTCTTTAAAAAACAAACCAGGTGCTGTCAGTGCACAGTTGTAAGCTTGGCTAGAGTATTTGGTAAATCCCCAAATAAAAAATAAATAAATACTACTTTGAAAAGATTAGTTTTGTAGCACTTATTTCTTCAAATGCTGATTTTACTGCCTCTTTTTGGTGCCTCTTTCTGTCCTTTTTAAAAATTAATTAATTCAGAGGTAACTGAAACAAATGAAAAGCAACTCTCATATTTTTTGAAAAGCCTGCAAGAAATACTGCATCAACAGCTGAAATTCACTTACAGTCTTATGTAGTCAAACTGCTGGCATCTTCTTCTGCATTCCCAGAATAGCAACAAAGTGGAGACACAGACTGGAAGCACATGATCCCTGCTTTTTGCTCTGTTAAAAGAATAGAAGAGAAAAAAAGTAGTCTAATCACAGATATGAGAATGACAGTTTTCATTTAATAACCTGTATAACCTTTTTCAGATAATTTCTGACTAGTCTAGTATGTATTCCTAGCCGCCTACTTCATTGAAACTCAGGTCACTATTATGTCTTTGAGCAGAGTTATAAAAGTAGGAAAATAGTAAAAAAACAACCCAAAAGCAAAACAAAAGTCCACCCAACAAGTAAACATTCGGTATGTCCTAGGAAAGAGGCAAAAATGCAGGAAAATACTAATGAAAATAACAAGCATGCTGCTTATTATCTAAACTGTTTAAACATAGAAAAGCTTGCTTTTCCTCACTATATCTTTTTCAGATCTTATGTGCTACTGGAGAAAGCTTAATAGTTTTCAGTATGTGTTCCTAAAAGACAGTAATATGCTGAGGTGGAGAAGTAGGGAGGTTTCCTTGAGTTCAGAAGTATATCACTGCCAAATTTCTGGAGAATTAAGGCCAGGCAGCACTTCCACCTTCTACTCTTCCAATCCACTTGAAAATGTGTCCAGAAAATCCACAGTGCTTGTTGCAGAGATGTCCAAACAGGGTGTTTCAACATTTCTAAGAATTGTTCATTTTTTATTTGACTAGCACTCTGGTTTTGATGAATGAAGCATCTGTCAAATCAGGGGGGAGAGAATGAGAGAGTGTGTGTGTGTGTAGATATGTGTATATACATATCTGTATACATTAGACCCTAGAAGACCCCACCTCATTTGTATTCTGTTTTCTAGATTACTGGGAACAAAATGACATCACTTAACCTGGCTACCATCTTTGGCCCTAACTTGTTGCACAAGCAGAAATCTACAGACAAAGAATTCTCAGTTCAGAGCTCTGCTCGAGCTGAAGAGAGTACTGCTATCATAGCTGTTGTACAAAAGATGATTGAAAACTATGAAGCCCTTTTCATGGTAGGTGGATGTTTCTTCACATTACTCCTATCCATTTTTAAGTTAAATGGGGAAATACCTGCTTGGTATTAAAGTAGACTAGGAGGAAGTAAACTGAGGAAACTGCATTAAATCAGGGTCATAGAACCATAGAATGTTTGTGTTGGAAGAGACCTTAAAGATCATCCAGTTCCAACCCCCTTTCCATGGGGAGGGACACCTTCTGTTAGACCAGGTGTTCAAAGGCCCATCCAGCCTGGCCTTGAACACTGCCAGGGATGGGGCAGCCACAACTTCTCTGGGCAACCTGTGCCAGTGCCTCACCACCCTCACAATGAAAATTTTTTTTCCTAAAATAATTGGGAATAATTGGTAGAAATATTATTTGATCAATTATTATTAGTAGAAAAAGTAATCTGTTGTCAAGGGGAATGCTTTGAAGTAAACTGTAGTGTTAAAAATGTGTTGCCTGGAACAGTTTCTATGTAGATAAGAGTATCTTCCTTAGAAGATTTCTGTCTGTGGAAATGATGGGGTTGGCTCTTCACTTGTACACTGAACAATGTACTATCATTGCTCATTAGTTTTGAAGACAAGACTGGAAGTAAGCTTTTCACCTCTTGGTTTTGGAAGTCAGAGAGAAAGTGTTTCTGCAGGGAGTAAGAGATCCTTGGTTAAGGAACAGCCTCCCATACTGAAGGCTTTCCTGTTAATTGGATGGGGAGTAAGGACAAAGCTTTCTCGTTTGTCAGTTGGGTAAGAGGAGCAAAACATGAATCTGAGTTATTCCTCAGTTCCTTTCTGTTCTCTTGCTGAGATGAGGAAGTTCATAAAAAGGATGATGACTTTTGATTTGCACATGTTGTTTACTTAAGGTGTGGCTTAGTTAAATTGCATTCCTTGTGCCTAGAAGTTAACTGAACAGTTCATTCTGTGGCTTTATTTTTTCCTCTTTTTGTCTACAGAATTATAGGTCAGCTCAGTATGACTTGTTCCTGAGAGAGCCCTCCGCCCTCAGGTAGCAGAGGCCAGTTAGACCTAGCGATGGGCACTCTCCTGTCTTCATTTTAGGAGGCACACATGTCTTAACCAGCAGTCTAGAAAAGGTGAAAATAGCTTTGTTTGTTGTGTCTTGAAAGTAAGCAGCACTGTATGATACACTGAGGAGATCAGTTCCCAGAGCAAGAGGAAGAATACTGTGAAATTTCTTTAGTGCTCCAGCAAAGCTGAGTGCTGAATACCTTGATGGGAGAAGGTGGTCAAGCCTGGACTGTGGGCATGTGGGACTGATGGCCCCATAGTACTGTAAGGGGAAGGTGTCTACCAGGTTCTAACAGGGAGAGTGAGAAAGCAGTCGCAAGCTCTACCTATCAGTCTTAGTCCCAGATGAACTTCTTTGTGGTTTTCTCGTCTGTTCCATCACACTGTGTTGCCTTTCATTATATCCTTTGCTTTATTTTAATTCTTGTTCCAGTGAGACACTCAGCAGTATTTATTTATTATTATTATTTATCTTTTTTAATGCTTTTCACAGTTTGGAATAACGTCAGGTGCTAATTTTCCTTCCACAGCAGGAAAAGAAAGGGACAGAACTACTCTTGTGTGAAGGTCTGCTGGCCCACAGTATGGATGACGCCAGCAAGTTAAAAATAATGCTTGGAGTTTTCTTATTGTTGTTTCTCTTTAAGAACATTTTACAGCACAACCACATCTCAGCACATAATACTTAAGCACGCATTCTGACTTTCAGTGTGGAAAAGGTGGGGCTTAGGGTTAGTCTAACCTACATATAGTCTCTTTTAACCGTGAGGGATTTTTTTTCCTTTATTTCTTTATCTCTTCAGTGCTTGTATTTTCATTGGAAAGTTAAACAAAATGGGGGGGGGGGGGGGGGGGGAGGGGCAAGGAGGTTTTTTTTTGTTTTCCAGAGTAGCTTTTTAGATTGTGGAGAAGATTAGAATCAGATTCCAAAATGAGAGGCTAGCTGCATGTAAGAGAAGGACAAATTTATCACAGACACTCCTGAAAGCTAAAATACATTCATGTGAAATGTATAGAAATGTCTACCAGTTGAGGGTCTCTGGGTGCTTTCCCTCATCCCATTGCCATACAAACAACATGGCAAGTTCTGCCTGTTTTCTGAAGTAGTGTGTAGATTCACATATGATATTTGATCTGTAGCATTGTGTCAAATTGCTCATAGTTCATGTTTTATAAAGGTTCTACCAGGGTCTACTTTCATCTTTTTCATGTTTTCATTGGCAGCACAGAGAGACTCTTTGTATTCTGAAGATAAATAGCCCAGTGCATCCTTTGGTAATAGGTGCATCAAAAGGAAAAGACTTGTACATGTAATTGTAGTAAAACTCTGATCATTTGGAATGAGGCAGCAGCAGTTCATTTTCCAGACCCATGGGAGTGGGGCCAAACCAGAACTGCTGTTTGTACTTGATATTTGTGCTACTTACAAAAGGAAAACATCTGGACTCAAGCATTCAGCTGTAGCTATAACATACAGTGTATTGCTGCTAAGGTGGTTTTTTGTTTGGGTTTTGTTGTGTGTTCCCCCACCCCCACCCCCACCCCCCCCCGTTACTTTTGTGTGTGTGTAGGTTATAAAACTGATTGGCTTCAGCACTGAAACTAGAACATTTGTGAAGTAAAACCTAGGGTACCAGGATGTGTTGTAGCTCCCAGACCACAATATCACAATGATTCTGATGCATTGGTGGGTTAGGAAGGTCCTGTTTGTCAGGACAACCCGGGACTGATTTTATTAAGCAATTATTATTGACATCAGTAATATGCAAACATGTGGATTTCATATAAAAGATGAATTCTGTGCTTGCTTCATTGAGGTTAAGGCCTTTCATATCCAATTCTTGTCTATTTCAGTGAGTCTGAGGGATACATGAAAACATTTTATGGGAATGTACAAAGGACTGTTCTTTGCCAGTTTCTGAACTGTGCCCAGTAGCTGAATGTGGGGAGGCACAACTCAACCCCACTTTGTCTCATTGCCTTTGACTTGGCATGGAAGATAGAGAAGAGCAGCTTGATCATGCATTTTCATCTACAAGCACCCAAATCCAGGCCCAAAGAAGCACTGAAATTTCTTATTTTTATTGTTAAAAGCTACCTTGGCCTCCCTGTTCCAGAGGCTGTCACATGCTGCCTCTCTGTGTCACATCAGTAGCAAGAGTCAGCACAAAGGAGGCACTTTCAGGTGTCTCTCCACCCTTCTGTATCTCAATAGATATAGAATCATAGAATCGTTAAGGTTGGAAAGGACCTTAAGATCATCTAGTTCCAACTTAGTTAACACCCAGCCTCAAAATCTCAGAATGTCTACTACTCTACTGCAGTCTTGACAACCCCAGAGGCTTCTGATCTGTCCCAGTATGTGCTCATCAGCTGTTATTTCAGCAGTGCCTTAACTTCTGTTCTGTCTCTGAATTTCAAGTTCTCACCCATCTACCCAGCCACAACTGCCAGTTAAAAAATTAATTCAATAATAGTTATTAAAACTCTGTAACATCTTCCTGAGATACCAGTAGTTCTCTAAGTTTATAATTACATGCATAACATTTCTACATTTGCAAGTTAGCTAGCTAAACTGAATTGAATTGCTGCACAGGAGGAAATCCAAAACCCAGTAGATATCTATCAAGGAAACCATCAGTACAAACCAAGCTAAGTATCATAGATTAATATAGATTATTCTCTCAGGTAAAAGTCCAATATCTCAATAGGACTGCTAGGTTTGGGTTTTGCAGATGCTTTCAGTTGGAGCTGAACTTCCTGATGGAACTTTTTTGGATTCTTTTTATGTCATGAAAGACTGATATATATATATTTTAATAATGGAAAATACAGTTTTATTTTTCTGACAAAGTCTTCTCAGTAGATTCTTACAAGTTCATCAACTTAATATAAAGCTGAATAGATATACAGAGAGACATGGGTTCTGCTTTACCCTCAAAGTTTATGTGGAGTTTATGGTACTGTACAGACGGACTGTCCAAACAGAGAAGTTGCAGCACACCAGGTTTCCAAAGAGGTACTCCTATGAAGGGAAGATAATTTATTTAAACACAGGTGTATCAATGAGCATCAGTAAGATATTTTTCCAGCTTAGAGGCTAAATACAATTTTCAAAAAAGGAATATGTGGTCATACGAATTTTTTCATAGAGATTTTGTATCAATTTGAACTAAATGATGCATATTTTCAGTTATTTTCAAATTATTTCTGTTTTTAAAGAAATATGCCTTTTCTGTAACTTGACTCCCTAAATACCTCCCAAACAGAGGTATTCCCCTGAAGAATCTATTAGTAATTCTTTTCCTATTTCCCAGGAATTGTCAGGGAGAACAAATGGCCCATGCAGTGTAACCTGAAGGTCAAGAGATTCAGGCTCTGACAAATTGCATCCAGAAGCATACTGTACAGTTGATGACCCCTTGCTGAGATTGTCTTGCCTCCAGCTCCCATCTGTCATGAGTGAACCTGGGTTGTTAGTTCAAGTTTCTGAGATGGCTGTATCCTGCAGCAACATAAGTTATCAAGTGCTTTGAAGGTTCATCTCCATCTAAAGTGCACTAGTGAGAGCTTGCAAATCAGAAGGCCAAACTCCAAAGATGAGACAAGTTCTGGCTGAGCCTGTGTCTACTATCCAAAGTCCAGAGTGGGCAGAGATCAAACAGGACCCACTTGTAAACCTGAGTTATAGACAAATTGCTCCGGTTCTGAATGAGCGTAAGCAGGAATTTAAATACTTTTAGAGCCGTGTGGGTACCTGAGCATTAATTGTTTATAAGGCATCATTTAGAAAAATATTAACCTTTGGCAGCTTTACTGAAATGAAGCAATTTAAGAACTTCATAGATATAATAATTACCATGAAACTTCCATATGAGAAGGATAAAAGTAAGTCGAATGCCACAGAATATATGAAGAAACATTCTTTTTCCTGTGAAATTACTTTTCACATTATTTCAAAATAAGGATAGTTACTTGGAATAGAAATCTGTAAATGTTCCCACATCTTTGAATGGGGATGTGAGGTGAGGACCTTAACTGAAAGCTTTTGCGATCATGATACATGAGTAATCCTACTGTTGCTATCAGACATGATACCCAACTGGATACCAGTAGGTTATTCAAGAATAATCAGCATTTGACATTGTACACAGTGATCTTTAGTTCTACTTCACCTGTTGTAACACGAAATTTCTCTTTTTAAGTGGAAGCTTCTGAATAGTTATTTTTTTTATACTATCCATACATGTACTTGTACTTGGTCTTTTAGATTAAACGTTGTATCAAAATTCATGTATGTGAAAGGTTATTAATCTCTAACTATTTTCCGTTGTCTTCATAGGTTTCACCTGACCTTCAGAATGAAGTGCTTATTAGCCTGTTAGAGACTGATCCAGATGTTGTGGACTATTTGTTGAGGAGGAAAGCTTCCCAGTCATCGTGAGTAGTTTGTTTTTTCCCTGTTTCTGCTGGGAATTTCTGTCTCCCACTGGAAGTGTTCAAAAGGTTCTAGTTTTCCACAGCTCTTCTGCACTGTCTACAGTGGAGTAGAAATATCCTCCCCATTACAGAGACTTTGCCAAAGAAATTATGACTCTTGTACAGTGTTTTCTAAAGACAAATCATTTCCCGATTCAGAGGAAAGATTGCGTTCTGCTGCAGAGAACAGAATGACATGTACTAAAAATATTCAATGCACTATTATCTGACAGGAAGTATTCTAGTGATCTGCTGGTTCATGTCTTGGATTTGTTGTAGTCTTCAGTAACAGGAGGAGTGTATTACACTATCCTTGAAACACACCCTAGAGTGCCTTAACACAATCACAGCTAGCCCTTTGACCAGTTCTTGGTTCTTTTACTATTGTATGCACATAGGACATTGTAAACAAGTAAACTACCACGACACAGAGTTATGGAGACTCTTTGGATATTATTTAATTGTATGCTTTGTGGAAGACCTGAAGAAAAAAAAAAAAAAATCACACTGGTCACTGTTGCAGTTATGATACATAACATAGTCCAACTTTGTGTATGATGTATATATGCCTACACCTGTGTGCCTTAACACTGAGAATTTGTACATTAGGATTAACAGGATTCCTGGCTTTCTTATGGGACACACAGTCACGGCATTTATTCTAGTGAATCTCAATGTCAAGTCCCAAAATCACAAAATTTGAGAAGCTTGCTTTAGGTAATTTTTAAGAGGTTTCCTAGACTAAACTCTCTGGGACAGATCGGACTTTATCTTCCTGTGTGTGTGGAAATTGACTAGTGCATTCAGAGCATAATTAAAATTAATCTGTACAGTCAGCTATGATTTTATTTTATTTTTTTCTCTCCCTATGAACATTGTATAGTTGAAGGTAATGTAATAGTGTGCCTGGCTTTAAAGGAAGAAGTAGATAACACATGGAGGAAAAATCTTTCTTCAGTTTTAAAAATTCAAAACAAAAACATGCGCAGAATATATAATGTGTTGTAAAGGATTTTATTAGTTTGACTTAACCATATGAGCTCATAACAGGCAGTAGCAAATTATCACAGATCATCTGATTTGTGGTAATTGTCTCTGTGTGTTTTCTTGGTATACCACAGACATGAAATAACTTCAGTTAATTTGACTGACAAGTAACTATGTGTATATTTAGATCTCACAAATTCAGGATAAGTACAGGTACATTAGCTGCCTTTTACACTTGTTTCACATTTGCCATTAGCCAAGAGCACAATTAGGAGAAAAACTGCAAATCATATGGCACATGGTAGTCTGTAGAGACTTCTTTCTTTAAGCTTATTTTGGAATGACCATATTATTTCTTACTGAAGCTAATGAAAACTGTCATGTTGGATTGCAGTGTCTATATTAATGTAAAGACATAAAATTGTATCTCACATGTGGCTACACATATCAATTGAGCGTAAACTTGTCACAGATCATTGTGGATGTAACAGATTATTGTTAGATCCTGTTTCCTCTAAATTAATTGACCTTTCCTTGAGCTTCCTTACTTTTCAGCCAGCATGCACACCTACAGGAGAAAATGGATCTTTTGTTCAAAGCTGGTTCCAACTGACAAAAACGGTTTTGTAAGAAAAGTTTACAAAATCAGATAGGAAACATATAGCTACACTAGTACCAATTTATTGTATTTTCAGTAATGGGCAGATGAAGCATCACTGAGATAGGAAAACCTTACTATGTCATTTTTCTTCTATTCTACTGTCATGTAAGTGATTTATTCTTAATGTTAATGAGATATTTTTTGCACTGTGATTGCAACTTCTTGGTTAAGATATTCCAGGCAATTAGAGGCAATGTTGCTTCGTGTTATTGCTAGGAGTGTGATGCTCTTAAGAGATGTATCTATTTCAGAGCATAATCTCAGTTTTGAGGCTACATATTTGTTTGTTATTTTTCCTGTAAGAAATGTGAGGCTGCAGACAACAAAGAGATGTTTGTCTTGATTTGATAAAAAATGAGCTTCCAAAATACATCTGTACTACTCTTGGAAATTTCCTGGTCACATGCTCAAGATCCAAATTCGGATCTGTGAGACAGAAAACTATATATTCTTGAGACAATCTTCATCACAAAAGCTAGTTGCATAGAGTAGAGTATGGAATCAACTTCAAGACTAATGTCATTTTAATTGCTCTGAAGGTCTTGCTTCTGAAATTGCCCTCACATTTCTGCTTTTGATGTCATTACAAATGCTTTCTTCGCTCTCATCTAACAGAGAAAACACAGTTTCTTTTCCTCCCCAGAGGAGCACAAGTCAGATGTTTCTCATCTTTCAGTTCTCTTAAGAGCTGAGCATTGTGAATGGTGTGTCAGGGAGTTTATAGAAGTTGTTCATGCTAAAGCACTAATTATCGTTGGCAGCAATTATGAAGTGTGCTTTTGTGGATGACTTCCCAACTTTTTTGTATGTTGGCTTGATAACAGTGGAAATTGGGGTTTCCAGCTGTAAGATGAAGCATCTTTAACACAAAAATAAAATTGTTTCTTATGATTATGTCATGGGTTAGTAGTCCTTTTAGAGTAAATGAGTTTCAAAGTTACAGAAGTTTTTCATGGTTTTGCATGTTGATGATGGGGTTTAATCCATCGTAACCTGTGGTGTGAAGGTGAAGCCATACACTAGGCCATCCAGTATGCAGTTTTCAAAGCTGCAGAGGCTTCCTAAATCATTGAGTCCTTTGCCGTATTACAGTAGCAACCATATCATAATCCTATAATAATCTGTTTTGTTGGTGGCACCTGTGTTACTCAAATATGTGTGGAAATTATTACTGCATGCTGCCAAGCCATTGCACTCTGTATGATTTGCCTCTTGTAAAACATAGTTATTTTCCTACTCAGAGGCTTTAACATATTACAGAAAAGGATTTCTGCCAAAAACCAGAAAGGGATTTCCTGTTTTGATGACCTTGATAAAGAAAAGTAGGAATATCGCCAGTAGAACTAATTATTATTATTAACATTTTTCCAGTTCAGCCATGCAAGTAGACTGGTGGATAACATCAGTTCAGAAGAATGCCAGTTAAAAAGGAAAGCCCAAGACTCCTTTGCAGCGTAGTTGATTTTTGTTTTGGAATCTGAAAATGTATTTTTGAACACATAGCATAGGTACATTCTGCAGCTTTCAAATCTTTTCTTTTGTACATAACCACTTTTTAAATCTTTTCCTTAACATAATTCATGACCACTAGAAAATACTTTACTTGCCTTGTCATTTCTCACATTGGATAGTACATGATCTCCTATTATTCTTTGCAGAGACCATAATCTGCCCTTATTCATGGGCTACATATAGGTGAGTGCGTATCTTGCACAATATTTACATTTGCCTCCCAACTTAATTTTTCCTCAATGTGTGGGTAGAGAATTTCACAGGTATCCTGGGAAAGATGAATTTTGAATTTTAGTAAATATCTGTCTGCTACTGAATTCAAGCCATAAAGCAAACAGGTACAGAAGTTTTGTTTTGAAGAATATGTGAGAATTCATTCTTTATTTGGAAAGAAGCAAGCCAAAGTCTTTTGCAGCTTCTGGGGTTTTTTTGATCATAGAGAGCATGGTAAAGCTGCAAATGTATGAAATCAATATTTGCAAATCTATGAGATCAGTTTCCAGAAGTATGCAATACATTTTGGTAGTCTCTTGTAGTAAGATTGACAGAATCCACAGGCATTTTCTTTTCTTTTTAAAATTATTTTTTCTAATAAATTTGAAATGTTATATATACAGTTGCATCAGCTTACTAGCAGAAACTGTAAACGAGTTTAGAAACTTGAATATTTGGATCTTTCCAAAGACTTGACAGTTTCCATTCAGGTAAATTTTTATCAGAAGCTCTGTCTTGAGAAGAGATAGACTATAACAGATCATTCAAGGTAAGACATGAAATCAGTGTTTCACACAGTTCAAGTTTATGTTCCCATATTCTTTCATTTCCATCTCCCTTTCCCCTATTCCTTGTGTTACCTTGCCATGACTAGTTGGTGGTACATCTCTTTCTTTGCCCTGTGGAACATAGTTAGGTTTTGATCCTACAAAGGCTTATTAGCGATAAGCCTTATTGGTGTCACCATTAGCGCCAAGCATGTCTGTATGCTAACAGGGTGTGATTTAGATGCAATTCAGTCTAGAAAGCTGGAAAGAAAGACAGACATTTGATGATAGGAAGCCTACCAACATTTCTCCCTTTCTCAAGTCTTTCAGGTTCTTCTAAAATTCCCATCTCATCTTAACTCACACTCACCACGCAGGCTTTTTTGGAATGTAGGAGGGCAAAAAGGAAGGACTAAGGGACAAAAAAAGGCAAAAAAAAGATTTGTGATAGTATTGTGCATACTTAAAAGACAATAATAATGTGTGTGGCTGTTTAGGGTTTAGTTTACATTCGGCTCAACTTCAGATGAGAAGCTGGTATGGGAAATTACATAATTGAGTCATGACTTACCCTTTCTTTTTCTTAATGACTCCCCAGCATTACCATACCAACTACACTGGGTATCCTGGGATACAGCTACTTTGCCAAATGGCAGCTTTGGGTTTTGAATTGGCCCTCTTTAAGGTTCAGGATCAATTCAGTGATGGATTTCTTGCTGGGAGTTACAAAGGAGTAAACTTAGTTACGTTTATTCACAAGAGTTTATGGTTGCTTTTATACTGTGGGAATAAAAAAAAACAACCAAAACACTGAATAACATAATAATCATGATGTTGAGTGTATATATTTTATGTTTTGGGACATGCAATATGTAAATCAGCCAGGAAAAAAAAACAACAAACAAAGCTTGAAGGTGGTGCTAAGTTTTATCATTATTTCTGTATTATGTAATAATAGTGTGCTGCAGCTAGCCTGTTTTACCACTGCGTATTTTCTTTATTTTCTTTCTTCAATTTGATCTCATTTGTCTGGAAAGAGGGTTATTGTTCCATAACAAGTAATGTGATTTGGCTGCTCACTCAGTTCAAGCTGTCTTTGGATTTGACTCTGAGAAGGGCTGACCATAAGTACACATTTACAGGAATGAGCCTCTGTCGTATCACATTCAGTGATGCATATTCAGTGAGGTCACTCAGAGAAGTGTTTAACTCCAGAAGCCAAAGATAAGCATCTAAGAAACAAAGATCAAGATGCAGAGGAACAGAACATGAGTAACAGAAATATAAATCAGGGAGGTCTGATAGGAAAAAGTTGTTTGTTTACAAAGTATTTCTATGTGTTCTTTGGGAGGTTCAGTGACTCACGGACTTCCTCCTATCTGCATAGTAAACTGTAACAGCTCAGGAAATCTTCCTCAGTGTTCCCAACACATTTCAAAAGTGAGAGTTGTCTCAAGTGCAGCATTGCTTGTACTTTGGTGGTGGGAGTGTGTATTTGCCCTTTTTGCTTTGTCAAAATTAAGTGCAAGCCTTGCTACTGGTGATTTAAAGGTGAAAGGGTAAAAAGTTTTAGAAGTTATCAGCAGAGCCAGTTGTTTGTTGTCCTCATCAGAGGTATGATAGATAGATCTGCTTGTCCCCCATTTACCTTCTGATGTCTCCAGAAGAGCATCCTTTTCACTGCCTGAGAGGCGAGCCAATGTTTTGATATCCCTGTGTACTACTTCAGAGTGGAAGAAGTGATTTTAGCATACTGTTTAGCATCAGACTAATCTTCCCTATCGTGCCCTCAGATTTACTGTTGCAAGAACCTAAATTGTCAAGGTAACATAAGGAATTGATTCACTGATTTCCTGTGGTGAACTGTACAGTTGTGTGGTTTTTGGGTTTTTTTTGTTTTTTTTTCATGACAGCAACATCTTTTGATTTTTAGTGGCCCCTGCTGGCCACTTCATGGCAAAAGTTTTACTCATGACAAATTCATATCTGTAGTGCTTCTGAAGTGTTTTAATTTCAGCAGCTGTGATCATGCTCCTGCATTATTTTATTTGTCTGATATCAAACTGCATCTGCAGCTGTGAGCATAAGGCATTTTTCATTAACAGTAGTTTGTTTATCAAAATTTCTCAGGAGCCCTGAGATGCTGCGATCGGAAGGCTCCTACTCCACAGGAGGAAGACATTCTTCCACAGACTCCAACAAAGCTTCAAGCGGAGATGTCTCCCCATACGACAACAACTCCCCGGTACTGTCTGAGCGCCCACTGATGGCAATGCAAGAAGAAGTTGCCCGCAGCCCAGATAAGCTGTACAAGGTACCTGAACAGTACATGCTGGTTGGACATTTACAGCCTAAGACAAAGGAGAATTCTTCTGCATCACAGGCTGGAAAAGGTAGAGTATATCCTGCTCGTGTTCCTCCTCCTCAGTGATTGATGGGGGTTTCTGGATTGAAAAGTATCAATTTTGCATTATCAAATACCAGGATTTGAGGATCAATAGTGTAAATAAACTTATGAAAAATGGCTGACGAACATCCTTGTTTTGTGTTGAGCCTGAAGGGTCTGTGCTCAGTCCTCCTCATTAGCTCCCCAGCTGTCAGGGACGCTCTTGGTATGGCATTTCTCAAAACTTGGACCTATTATTTAGGAAAATAGAGCTATGTGTCTCTTGCTTTTCAGCCTGTCTGTGACGGCATGGCAAAGACTGATTTCTTAGTCCTGCTCCATAGGACTGTAATACCTGCGAGATTATGGTCCTGACTTCGGAAAAATGTGAGGCTTTAAGTTGCAAAGCTACAGATTTTCTACAGTCGAGAAGAATGACCTCAACACCCTCCCACTGGGGAACACAGCTGAGCTGTACAGCTTTACATCTGCTACCAATTACATACCTAGCAGTACTAGTGCAGGGATCTATAATTTCCGTAGCTACTAGGGAGTGCACACCTGAATGATTTCTTCTGTAAAGAACTGCGGTTTAAACTGATGGCTCACCAGCACTTCACTTTATTTTTAAAACAGTGAAAAAGCCCCACTCAACCTTATATTCTTGAAACGCATACTTAGTGAGCCAAACTTTAAGAACTTAATGTGTAGGGATGCATTTAACGGTTTGGTGATTTTTTTTAAAACCATTTCATTTCAGAGGTACTGGTTAGGCACTTAATTCCCTTTGGAATTACTAGGATTTAGACTATTAACTATATGCTTTAGAAATGCCAATGGGCATTTAACTTCTGTATTCAGTGTCTAGATCTCTGAAAAGGCTTCAAAATTTGGTCAGGCTTCTATTATGAACAGGAAATTGTAGTAAGTTTTATCATACTAAACCATCCTAAACCATCTTATGGACTTTAGTATGCATCACAGTGATACTGGACCATGACAAATTAGGAAATTCCTTTACTACCAAGTGGAATCAGAAAAAGACATGAAACAGTTATAATTCAGCCCAATGCTTGATGTGCGCATTTCATTAAATCCCTATTCTGTGACTTCACTGCAAGACCTGCAGCATCGCTTGGGTTGATAGAGCATGCCTTACAGTGACCCCTGAGTCTACCTAAGGGAGCTTTGCCATTTGGTCAGCCTTCAGTTGCCCAAATCCTCCTGTTCTTGTGCAAATTCTCCCAACTGACTTCAGTAGTGCAGAGGACTCAGAGGAAATGCCACATTCCCTGCAAACTCAAGTGTTCTACCCATCCAGAGCTTATTGAATCCATCACAGGATCCGAGCCTGAAACAGCAAGTAACTGAACAAATAGGTTTGAGGTGTTTGTGTTAGGTGCTAGTAAGTCAGATGCTAGTGTATGTTAACAGCTCTGATACCTTAAGGTTTTACTATTCTGTTTGTATGTTTCTAATTAATGGCTTTAAGAGACTCATCCTTTTCTTCCTGCTGTTACTGCTATTTAGATGTTTCTGAAGATCATTTTGATATCTGGGGTACCTGGCATTCAACACTGAAAAGTGGCTGCAAAGATTCAGCAGTGACAGGTCAGTTATTTCTCAGGTTTTAAACCCAAATCTAGCAAAGACATAAACAATTCTTTGGTTTTGAGAAATCACAGTGAAATCAGTAGGAAAATTCACATTGTCCAGAGTTGGACTTTTAAAAGAAAGGAAAGTGACTAACCTTAACCATTCTGTGATTCTACGGTTATACAAGTGTGTCAACATTTCAAACTGTCTCAATTTAATTTAAAAAAAAATAGTTTTAAAATTACTTTAAAAATAGTTTTATATTTTTCTAGGAGTTATTGGAAGGGGATTTGAGGGTGGCTGCTGCAGTGGCACAAGCACAGGCTTTGAGGTTGGCAGTCCTGGGTGCTGACCCTGCCACTGGCCAACGTGGTCCTGGCAAGTCCCTGACTCATTCTGCCTTTGTTTTTCTCCCATCTTCATCTACCTCCCATAGAAACTGAGACTAAAACACCCCCCCCGCTTTTAAGCATTTGAAAGACACTAAGTGCTATAAGGCTTTATGTCAGAGCAAAGTATTGGTCACTAGGTAATAGATATGGTTTTGATATAGGTATAGGGCTGCTGCTCCATATCCCCAGGTTTGGCCAGTGGTGAAACTGACGCACCTTCTGTCACATAACCTAAAGATAAAAATCCCCATCCCTCTTTTACAGTGTGATGCAGGGGAAAAGCACTAACTTGTTAAATGCCACGTAAGTGATTACACAGTCTGATGTTGTCTTTCTGATTCTGGTCCCCAGGTTCTTACGGAAACATCTATGAAAGCAGCTTGTTGCGACCCGGACAGTGCTCTCTTTCTTATGGGAACCTAGCCATGTGCTCTCCTCGGGGTCAGGGCAGATCCTCTGAATTGGACACCAGCAGGCAGGTCATGCGAAGGAGCCAGACAACTGCTGCCATTCCTGAGTGTCAGCTTCATCCCACGGTGTCTCGTGTATGCAGTAACCCACAAATTGAAGTCGGCAGTAGGAGTTCAGACCTGTCGCACTCAAAGTCAGAGCAGCACTTGACTTTAAGCAGCGTGGAGGACCTCACTGAGCGTGACTCGAATGTGGTTTGTTCACAAAGCACAGCCAAGCCCTCCTGCAGAAAAGAGCGGCCACCACCCCCTTACCCAGGTGCAGCAAAACCAAGCTCCATGTTCTCACAGCGATCAGGTGTTTCTTCAACGTTGCACAATTTGTGGAGACTTCAACGCCAGGAAAAAAGTTCAGGGACAAGAGCAGCTGGAGGACCAGCAGCCAAAACCCCTGACCAGGTCGCCCCCAGGCAGGAGCGGCCAGCCCCACACACCCAAGCGGGTCATATCTATTCCACAGCACCTCACAGTCAGAACAGTAAAAACGTTTCAGAGGCAGACTGGCATGACTGGCAAAGGGAAAGGTGGCAAATTTGGGAGCTATTATCAGCTGATAACCCTGATGCCCTCCCAGAAACCCTTGTATGATCAGACTCTGCAGAACTGTCTCAGTACCTGGACCCCCCCGTCTCATAGGAAAACAACAGTGACATTGGAAAATGGGGAGGCTTTCTTTGTTTTATACCAACTGAATTGCATATACTTTTTTTAAACTTTGTTCACTTTATTTTCTTAACAGCACTGTCAAGCAGTCCATTTACAAATGCAGTATGTTCCTGGTTTTCAGCAAGCTTTTGAGATAAAACCATGAAAAGATGAAAATTTTAGCCCAATAACTCTGTTTGCGTATGTTGTGTATAAGATAAAACTGTTGCTTTGATGTTGCTAAAATGTATTTATATATCTGCAGTTCTGATGATTGTATATTCTGTAATGGGTTTTGTATGATAATCATGTGTTATGTTTTCATATACAGATGTCAATCAATCATGACTGCTTTTTTTAAAAAGTCACTGCACTTACATTACCGTGATATGCATCGGAATTCTATAGAAAGTGCACAAGCTGGTTTCTGTGCTTATATAAAAAAAACCTGTTAAAGGGAGAAGTTGTCCTCCTTTTCACTGCCTATTGAAAAACACTAAAATAGAGTGGAACATGAAAAGCCATATATTTTATAAGGGTAGTAGTGAGCTTAGAGGGGAAAATACCAAATATTTTTTTCTTATAAATATATTTGCAAACAAAATTAAAATTTGATACAAGATTGTAAAAATGTGTTGGGTTTTTTATTTTCAGATTCTGATAGGAAGCAGCTCAGAGAATCAACTAAGAGCAAGGCCGTGCCTAAACCAACTAAGGATGTAGTGCAAAGGTCTGCCTGCCCTTCCATTCTAGAGGAAAACCAATGTTATATATACAGGATATAATATATATATTTATAAATGTATGATTTTATGTATTATTCTAAAATAATAAACTGGAATCCAAATTTTAGAAAACCAAACCAAATAAATTGAGGTGTGGAACAACTGAGGAAGAATATGGCTTTTCGTTTGCAATAACAAAGCTTCAGCATTGAGAAAGTTAGAGAAAAAAAGAAAGACCTATAAAAGGGAGTCACACACAGTTTCAGAAAATAACATGACGTTTGGAGAAGTTCACAGCTGCATTTCAATAAATATTGTGCCAAATTCTGGGTCAACAGTACTTCCTCAATAATTGTATGTTGCATTGTTAAGTGTTGCTGTTTTATACACGCTCTGGTGGTTTTATATTGCAAAATTGTTTGTGGCCAGCAGGTGGCAATGTACTTCAGTATTTCCAGAGAAAAATCTTTTTATCACTTGATAAGGGAAAGTGTATCATAGCAAAATAATTTTATAAAACGTATTAGTCTTAATTTTAATGAAGTTGAAGACTTATTCAGCAATGTTGTCTTTAAGTTCTATCTTGTGCCAAACTGATGGAATAAAATGTTAAGCAAAATAATGAGCATAATTTTTGCTCTTTTTTTTTTGAAGTAAGGTTTATGTAAAAATTGATGCGGTTTTATTACATTCTTGAGTATCTCCGTCAAAACCAGGTGCTTAAGGACCACTTTTAAATACAAATTAAATATATAAGATCTGAGGTTTTACTTAAGTCTTGGGCTTAAAATCCATCATATAACGAATCTGCCCATCATATCTCCATTTCCCAAATAAAGTTGTAAGAGAAAAACACCAACCCAAGTAGAAAGGGGCAGGGTTTGGCCTTTGACTGTTGTAGTACTGTCAGGCCAGGTAGCTATTCTTATGAATACTGCAACTAGAATAAATCTCAGTTCTCTTCTGGTGCTTGCAAGGCTTTTCCACATACTATCTCGATATGAAAAGTGGTAGGAAAAGGTTCTTTTGAGCAGCTTGTTGCAGCAGCTCTGTGTCAATTAATTAATTAACAAACAAACAAACAAAAAACAACAACACCAAAACCCAACCCTAACCCAAATTAAGAAAATAGTGGAATATAAGGACAAAACTAAGCTCTCAAAAAAAAATCTTCACTATTTGATCTTGTCTCAATATTATCCCAGGCTTGATACAGAATTGCTACAGGGAATTAAATCCCCCTAATCGTCCTCAAAATCATACATAGTGCAAATCCCACTGCAGAAGATACTTTGTTCACTAGATGTCCGTCTCTGCATTGTAAATCCCTTTCTAAATACAGAAGCACCTGCGTGCTTTCAACTTTTTGAGTGAAAGATCCCCAATGATTATTCAGCCTCATAAAGCGTTTGCTTTTTGCCAGGAGCTCTCTCTGTATATCTGTGTATATGTGTGTATATTACCATCTATATAGAATTTATGCGAAAACAGAACAAAACCCAAGCCCACTGCTGGAGGGCAACCATGTCTGCACACGTTTCAATATAAAATTGCTTGGAAGAAAAGAGATATAGAATAAATTCTGATGAATTAAAGTAATGCCAAGACTACATCATTTCTGTCCTTTTCATTTGAACAGGACAGAGAAAATTTATAGTGAGCAGGTTAAGGATAACGTAATCCTTAGTTGTACCTCTTTCCAGGCTGAAAATGAGTGACATAGTTTCTTTTGATGTCTTTTTCACATTTCACAAGAAATATAGCTGTGAAAGCTTGTTTCTGGTTTTATTTTAGCTGTTAGATCTGTGTGGATTATTCAATTTTAGATCTCTGTGATGTTTTTCTTCCTATGACACAAGCTCTTGTGCAGCCATAATATTCCTCTTACAGGGAAAGTCCACAGCATGGGGATATGAAAGCTTTTTCTCTGACTCTTTCCCCTGGGAGCAGGTTTCCTATCATAGCCAAAGGGTCATGGGCTTCTGCCTCAGTGAGAAGCTTCTCATGGTGGAGAAAGTCTCCTCCAGAGGTCTCAAGGCCTCAGGGCAAACTCATGCAGTTCAGTTCCCTCACATCACTTCCTATTGCACCAGGCTGGTTCATTTCTAGGATTGAAAAAAAACATCTTTCCCCTGAGGGTCTTCATTACCTTCTCTCATGGGTGTCTTCCAACTGGGAGGAAGGGTGTGCTGCACTCACAGTTGAGCCCAGGAGAGAGCAGATGTGGGTGTCCCAAGGACAGGGTGCTGCAGGGAGCAGCTCTTCTCTCTTCTGTTGCAGAAATGAAAAAATTAGAGGAATTGGTGCAGCTTTAGATACAAGCCAAACGTGGTGGGGGACCTCTGAGCCAAGGGGAAAAAGGAAAAGCTCAGACTTGTAAATACTACTTTAAAAATTACTGTTGCTGCTGTCATTTAAAACAAGACAGGGTTACGCAACTGACTCACCCATTTGAAGACTATGCTCCACCAGAGGGGTAAGTCACACATTCTCCCTCTTTCCCAGCCTCCTATTCCCTCCCTTACACCAGCTCTTAGAGTTGTGGGAGCAATCCTGGGGCTTGTTGCTCTGGCTGAAACATGCCCCGTTCAAGGAACATATAATTTGGGTATCTCAGGGGCTTTCACAAGTGCTACGCGTGGGAGAAGAAGGGACAGGGTCAACAGACAGCAGAAGGGAGGAGGCTGGGACTGGCCACCCATCTGGCAGCAGCCTCCATTTAGCCCTGTTCGTGCCTACTTACACAGCCGCAGGGCTTGCTGCTTCAGTGTGTAGGCAAAAGCCAGGCCAAGCACTTGAGGGTGGCTCTGTGTCACAAGCCTAAAGCAATCCAACTGCTAGCTTGGGTGCTTGGAATCTCTCCAGTGGTCTGCTGCCTACATCGGAAACCTAGGCTGCTACCATGGAATAGACTAATGCTTTGGAGAACTTCTCTGCTGTTGAAATGGTGTGGTTCAGTGGGCTGGAATTTGTGGTTGTATGGTCTGGGGAGTATTTTGTTACTGGTTGAGGTAAAAAAACTCAATTCCAGCCTTCCTGGAGCACCATCTTGTTCTGTGGTGCTGGTCTGGCAGAGAGTCAGGGAATTCTGTCTCCTCTGGGAAACACACGGGATGTCTGAGCCTCCCTTTGCTCCCTCTCTCTGTCTCTTTCCCTTCTCTTTGTGTTCATATCCAAAAAAAAAAAAAAGAGAGAGAAAAGAGTAGCTCCATTGTGTGATGCCGTAACCTCACAGAACTGCAAAGTGGTGGAAATGGTTCTCAGCCACATTAAGGAGTATCTTGACATCAGTAAGTGCTTTTACAACATTGCTGAGAATAGCGAACTGCTGCTGTGCTTCAGTTGCTTTAGGGGAAGGCATCTAGGCGTCCAGACAGTGCTGCAGAGACCGCAGAGCTATTCAAGGCATGTAGACGCCCAGAGTGCTGGGTCATAAAACGCACTGTCTCTGAGAATAGCATTCATCTCATTTTCCTGAAGTTTAAAGCATCTCCAAGGGTGGTATCTACATCTGGAAAAGTCCCTCACAACTTCCCTTTTTATTCAGTGCAGAGACACAGGTATTTCTGTGCCACCATCCCTCCAGCCTCCTGAGTTTGTCTTTGAAGGATGGTCCCCTTTGAATGGCTAGACACTAGAAAAGCCCCTTACTTTCCACTGCCCATACAAGGGAAGCCTAAATAAGTTGCCCAAATAGAGACCTATCTAGGGTAGCCTTCCAAGTTTGGTTGAATGAATCCCATCCTAAAGGTCTGGTATAACACAAAATGGATGGCAATCCCTGCAACACTAACAAGGAGCATTTAATAGCTTCATTGTCTAACACTAACAAATGATTACAGCTTGGGGAAAGGAAAGCAAGATGTTCAGCACACCTTTCCCTCTGGGAAAAGCAAAACTTATCCAGAGTCCTCTGTTGTGCTGTTCTCTGGGCTCTTCGGTGAACCTGGGGCTGGCAGAGACAATGCCGCTCCTGGGGGCCTGGGGAGGTGGACAGCAGAAGGAGATGGCATGGTCAGCTCTGCTGGGTGTTGTAAGAAATCCAGGCCTTTTGGAAAGTGAAGGAGAGACACTGCCCAGTCTGGAATTGCACTCTTTATTGTTGTTTTGGGGTTTTTTTGTTATTCTGTTTTTTTTTTTAATTGGGATTTATTTATTGACTGAAAACTCTGTTTCCAGCTGATCTAAAAGTGTTCATGAACAGGACCGGGATTTAATTTTAATTTTTTCAGCGAATTAAAAAACGGATATGGGATTTATGAAAGCAGCCCCATTTGAGCATTTTAGAAATGTAAGGGAAGGGGAGGTTCTGCTGAATCTCAAGCAGCACTAGCAAATGGTGACAGGCAGATAAAATCTTCCTCATGAAAGACAGGGGTTAATCCTCTTTCCTTTGTTGCTGAGTAAGCAAGTGTCTTTGCCACTGGAGTTTTAGGGTCACAGAGGGAGGGAGGGAGGAGGAGAGCTGTCTTTATCCACTTCTCTCCAGAACTGTGTTTGGTAGGGGGTGAAAAAGCATGTTAGAGCAGGAGAGAGCAGAGTTTCCAGCTGGGTGGTTGCTGGACTCTCTGGCTGAGGACTTGAGCCCAGGCTCTGGATGCTCTTCTAATGATTATTTAAACTTTCAAATAAAACAGAACTTTTTAACAATGCCTCTGTTAAACAAAGAGGACATGAGGGGATGCCTCAGATCACCATTTCCTTTTGCTAGGCTTGCTCTTTTCCATTTCCCTATGTCTCCTTCCAACCATAGCTGTGAGCTCTAATAATAAAATAAAAAAGATTTAAAAGGGCCTGAAAAACAAAAGCATTTGCTTCAAAGTGTGGGGTGGAAAAAAAAAACACAACAAAAAGATCTGGGAAAAAGCTCAGAAAACATCTAGCCTCATCCTACTAAACAATGAGCAGCCCCTTCCTCCTCCGTGTGCATGTGTGCTGGGGGGGCCTGAATGCTGCTCACCAGAAGGGAACGAGTCTGTATAGTGGCTGGGTGTTCAGCAGCCATGGGGCTTCACGCTCAGGTGCCAGGAGGACAGAAGGGTGAGCGTGGATGTGCACAGGGCCACCCAGGCACTGGGCAAGGCACCAAGACTAGTCCTAGCTCCTTGTGCCTGGCAGGTGAAGCCCTCCTTGCAGTCAGGGCATGGGGACATCCCCACTGCTCAGGCCAGATGGGACCCTGCAGAGCTGAACCACCTCTGCTCAGCCCAAGTGGCTCATAGGCATAGAAATCACAACTGCTAGTCAGTAATCACTGACAGACAGACAGTTCCCTGCTTGGGTGCTTTGCCTCCCTGGCCAGGAAGGAAGATTTCTTACTGCATCATCTTAATAAAATTCCAAATCTGGTCTGCTTTGCAAAAGGGCTACCAAAAACTCAGAGCTTCTTTTGAATTTAAAAATTCTACAGTCATGAAGAGAAAAGATCACCTGAGCCCTGGTTACTCTTTACAACTTCACAGAGGTGGGTAGGTAAGTGTCCATCAAAAAAGAAAGAGTGAAAGAGAGAAAGAGAGAAAAAGAGACCAAAAAAAAAAAAAAGAAAAGAAAAGAAAGAAAGAACAGAAGAATAAAGGAAAAGATAAAAGATAAAATAAAAAAAAAAAGAGAAAAGAAGAAAGTTTGGACTAAAAAGCACTTTATCATGCAGAAAATAACAAATGTGTGCAGAAGCATGCCAAGCAGGGTTACTGAAGTAAAAACACACTGTTCACTT